CTTTATCAGTTTTTAAGCGCTACTCTCGTTCCACAATTATCACTGTCGTAAAAAAGACGGTTTTGACAAAAGGTTTCCTTCGGTAGACAAAAACAATAACAATTAGACCGCTTAAAAATTCATTTATTTGAAACAGTGACTGCAAAAATTACGCACATAATCTACATTTTTAATACTCTAACCTTCAGTTTTCTAGACAATATAACCTCGTTACTGAACACATTTACGCTGAAATTATTCGGTTGTTGTGGACATTACAAGTTTTATTGCACTAAATTTGACTAACATATTTTGAATAGATACCACAGTAATGACCGCTGACGTTTCAGGCACAGTAATAATTAAAAATCTCAAATTAAGTTTAGAATTGAAACTATGACATGATATTGGTTTAATGCAATGTTCTTTATATATCTATCTCACTAAATTCATTTAATATACACAGTTACACAATAACTGACACGATTAACCCCACATCACTAAATTGGACAAATCCGGAGTAAATCAGAGTTTATAAATGTGGGTGTAACTTAAACATAGTTTACTGCATAGATATTCTCAACTTCATAAAAGAAATAGTCTTTAACTAAGCTTAGTAAGTTCTCTTAAAACCTCACCTGACAATTTATATACAATATTTTATCGTTATACCATTCTATAAAATATTTGAAAAAAAATAACGAAGTCGTCAACAAACAAGTTTTACGAGAACATAATGTTAATATCCACTCATCAACTTTTCAAAAAATAAAGAACTAAAGACAACAAATCATGTAAGGCAACAACTTAGTGTTACGTATATATTAACTTTTACTACTTTACAAAAAACTGAATACTTCGACTTATAAATGACAGTAAAACTATAATTTACATTTTAAATTATATTATTAAAAATTTAACGTGAATACTGAGTACACTAGTACCGAAACTTAATCTTAATAATAATAGATGTAAATAGATTTTATGACATTCGTAGCAGTATATGTAGAAATAAATATTGGTACACATAATGGCCTGTTTACAAGTTTTTGTTAAAATTTCATTTTTAAATTCTTTAGCGAATTTATTTTAAAATTCACGGACACACTATATAAGAACAGAGATCTTGACATTCCGTAACTCCATAAAAAATTTAAGCGTATATTGGTCCATTCCCTAGTATTTTTAGCGCATCAGGTGTTGCAGAGCTTTTTCTTATTTTATTAAAGGAATTACCAAAAAATTTTATATCATAAAAGAAATAATTTTATGGATAATAAGTCACTTAAAACCACATGTTACACTTAGGATTTACAACTTACGAGTTTTATAAACTAAATTGGCGTGGAAGTGTAAAGCGATCTGCACTTTGAGAACATTTTTTTACGTCGAGGTCACTTTCCAAATTTCGAAATTTCAACTGTGTATAGACTAAGTTTTAGAGAGAATAGACGATGCAATTGACCTTTGCTACATTTAAAACCATTACATCGTTATGGCTAAAAATGTTAAACTAGGGTACGACCTTCAGACAAAGAATTGACTGCAGCATACTAAAATTAGTTTGTTTCTGCAGTTCATCACTTTTTTAAATCGCTGAACATCAGTCAGTTAACGACTTTTGGTTATTGAAGCAAATTTAGATTTTTATACAACCAGATAAATTGAATTTCTAGAAATTACGCTACACATAAGATCAATGACACTGAACATTACAAAAAAAGGAAGACTTTTAGTAATACCTTCATGTTAATAACCTCAGGAAATAGTTGTTTCAGTCAGGTTTTACAAGTATACTAAAATTTACTTACACCATAAATATTAGTGATAACATGAAACTTATCATTCTTCTATTTGTCAAAAATGCCCAGGTCTAGTATATGGGCAATATATTATACAAGGAGCAACCTGATTTAGTTTGAATGGAAAGAGAGAAACCTTACATGTGCTGGACAACGCAATAATTTTTTCAATTCTTCATCCAGTGCGGTAGTAATAAATTTTATCGATTTACAATCAGACCTGCACTTCTCCGAAATCAACAAGCTTTTTTTGTGTGAAATCAAAACAAACCAGTTCAAATCATGCATTGACCTTTTGATTTCGCACGAAAACAAAGTCAAAAAATTTTAATTTTTCTGCACATTAATGAAGTAAGTTCCCTATGTCTCAAGGCTATCTATCTCTATTGTAAAAAAATTACTTATACTATCAATGTTATTTAAGTCCTTGTCTTCCAAAATTGTTTCGTAAAAACCTATTTTATAGATACATAATTATGTAAATATTATACCTTTATTAATGTTAACATTTGGCGGTAGCAATATAATTTTATGGTCCGTCAAAGTACACTTTAAGTCAATTAAACAGGACCACTTATTGACAATAAAGTATAGAAAATTAAAAAAAATTAATACAACATAATTTTTTTACATTATAAGATCTTTATTATAAAAAATAAAATAATCGATTTCCTGTGAATTGACGGATTATATTTAAAACGAGTGTGACTAATCAACTGATAAAATCTCCAACGAAAATGCATTTAAAACTTAAGATCTTGTATCTAATGATTCATACTAAATACGCGTTTTTGTGACAATCAAAATTTGTTTGGCTTGATAATGTAATATCTACTAATCTTTCAATTAGTGTAGGACAGACCGTTTATCAGTTTTAACACCTATTCAAAACATCAAAGATGAAATTTTACGATAATAATGTGTCATCTGTACAATCTACACAAGTAGTATTGTATGTCACAAGTAGTATTGTATAATGCAGGTTTGTAAACTATAATAAAAACGGTCACAATTGAATAAATCACAGTTCGTATTAATTAGAATATAAATACCACATTACGTCATATATGACACGCATATCAAATAGATTTTGTTTTTATGACTCCCTAAATCCCTGTAGGATTACACGTTGGTCTCGCACGATTGTAAAACTCACATTTTTTTTTACAATAACTCAACGAATTTACTCAAATGTTGGCTTCTTTTAATTTTCACTAGCTTCAGTTAGTCTTTTAGTATACTCAAAAGTGACAATCATGACTTTCGTACTATGTACTATTTTTATTTTTTTACATTTTTCATTATTAATATAAACAAATACTGTCTTTTCTGTTCAAAGACGATTGGAAAAAATATATTACAACGTTTGCATTTCATTCAGTTTTAGTGACAAGTAGGAGATGATAAGATGAAAAAGTGACGCATTATTATACAGAATGATGATAACACACCAACACACCAAACCCGATGAAATATATAAATAGATATATGTACGTTTTGAAAGTCGGTGAGGTGAGAAAAATCGTATTTTTACTTTTATAAACATTCAACCGCAAGTTTACAAATTAAGAAAACGATATTTTATGCAAACAAATATTTGGTGAAATTCCACCGGGTGCTTAGCAAAGAATACAGGCAGAGCAGTCAAACTCAATATGTTCTAATAAGTTGTTTTTGTTTTTAGATTTACTCATAAAAATCTTGCTGCTTTTAGTTTATTACTTTATCATCACTATATACGTTGATAAGATGAAGCAGCATATTTTTTACCTAGTATGACATATCACATTCGAAAAGTGCTTACTAAACTATAGACAAAACTCTGAGAAACAACTTGAGTCTAAAGGCAGCGTTTATTTTTAGACGATCATTTCAAAAATAGAAGTAGTATCTAAAACCGCACTAAATAAAAATTAAATTATTGTCGTATATTTTGGTGATTCATAACATTATTCACATCTGAGCACATCAGCACGTGAGAGAAAGTGGCTCTGGTAAAATCAACTCCCGTTTTCGACAATGTCCGAAATGAATCAACAAATTCGACGAAAATAATACTGGGTTCTATTCTGCGTCAAATAGGTAATAATTATTAAGTTACCGAGAAACTCCAGCTGGTTTTTAATCTTGTCAGTTTTGAGAATACTTGAATCATTATGGCGATAAGATAAGGCACCTTTTCCATAAACTTTCGAACGGTTTTATTGCAAAATTAAATTAGCGCCATTACTTACGAACTACATTTTTATTTTGTTGTTATCTAATTAATTCAGTTAATCTTAATTAATAAAGTATAATTAATGATGACCACAACAAAATATATGTATTAACATATTTACACCGCAATAAAAAAAGACGAAGTAAGCATACATTTCACTTTACTTATAGAAACATATTTTGGTTGTAGGGACACCTTACAAAGCTTCTTGCTCATTAAATCCTACACAAATAAAACTCTGAGATTCTAAAATCGACAAGCTTTTGCACTTTTGAGCAAAAAGACGTACTTTTAAGTTTTTCCTTCTTAAAATTTTTTATTACATTTTTTGATTTGATTCCAAATTTCGGAAAGATTTTCACAATTTATTTTGAACTTTTTGGTATTAAAATTCTATTATCAGTATAGCATTTCTTTGTTCTTAGAATTTGTTTCTCTCGTCAACACTATTGTTTTACACTATTACACAATTGTTACTTATAATAATGCATATAATTCTTTTATCCTGTTTTTCATTTTCTGGCATATTTATTTCTTTTTTCTATATCAAAATGGGTTTGAAAACATGACACATGTACGGACATTTGTACAGCAATAATATGAAATTTTTTGTATCTGATTTCTTCCCCAAAATTAAAATCATTTGCATAAATATAAGACATTAAATGTGTATTACTAAAATTACAAGGTAAAGTGTTTCGCACAAGTATAAATATTATTACAAAAAATAAAAAAGTAAATAGGTGCATGTGTTTATCTCCTTTTATCTTTTCTAATATTACTCAATCATCTCTATTACTCAAGTTTAAGCTATAGATAAAGTACGGAACCTCAGTTTTCTCAGAAAAATACTAAGTACTTGAAAATTTTTAAATTGTTAGTAATTGTAATGGAATTTTATAGGCAAAATAAAATATTTTACTACAGTTTTATAAGTTGCGTAAACACTTAGAATAAACTTGCAATAAATAATTTAAGACAACAACAAAATAAAAACTCACGTTTTTTATTGGTCCCTTCATGGTTTTACTGGTACATTCCTCATCGGAAGATGCCTGCAAAACAAATAAAATTAATAGATTTTAAAAAATCTAGGACAAATTTTAATTACCAACACATGCCCGTTTTGACGTCTTCCTCTGGTGTACCCATTTTTCTTATTGATGCACTGAAACAATAATTCTTTTGTTAAGTATTAATAAATAGATCAATCTGATTAGTTAGCACAATTGAAATGTTAAATAGATTGAACCGCCCAAAACGCCGGAAAGGTATGTAGACAAATATTTCTAAAAATATAAAATACCGTATATCCATTTGTCAAAGTTCCTGAGTACGGTCCATATCCGTTTGAAATGCCCTTTTGATGTGTATTATTTTCAAAATCTACCCCATTTAGTAACTCCGTCACAGTATCACCTGCACCCTCTTCCATTCTCGTTTCCATACTGAAGTATTCGAAGACGCATGCGTTTAGACTGTACAGGCTCTGTTTTTTTGTTGGTTGAATGCTTCTCGCGTGATACACTTCGATACTTTACCGCAACCTTGTATTTAAAAAATTGCGGTTATTTGCATTTTGGGAACATTAAACAAAACTTACTTGCTAAAAAGCGTGTTTATATTCAGTTATTCGAAACTGAGCACTAATGTCAACTATTTGACGTGGTGTTTCACCTTATACTTCAACTACTAGGATAAAACATATTTGTTTCATTAATTTTTTAAACGTGCGTGAGACTCGGATACTTACCAATGTAATGATAAAGATAACTGTAACAAATAACTTTTTAAACATTAAAATGACCAGTTTCGTTAAAAATAATTATTCTTACGTTTTTGTGTATCTAGTTCACAAAATTTCGTAAGGTGTTTGACGTTTTTAGGGAATTTAGTTCTATTTTTGGTAACCTATGCGAGTTTATTTAGTGACTTCTGCATTTTTAGTTGGCAATAAGTTAGCAAAGATGCTTGGTTGCTAAAAATGGCAGGTGTTGTTAGCAATGATGTTTGGAAAAATTGGGATAAAACAGGAAAAAGTGAATTGTAAGTATCAAAATAATTACAGAAATTTGCGTCGTTGAAATCGGTATGAAATTAATACCAACGTACTATTTACGATTGTGCTCAAAGTACAAACAGGTGCGATGTTTCAAGCAGACTGTATTGTTGATTTTGCATTAGATGTTTAATAGATACAGTAAACACACTTTTTTCAACGTTTCAGCATCAAAACATGTATCCAGTTGTTGAAAGATGAGCATAAATCACCCGTTTTTGATAAATCTGGGAAAGTTTCAAGTATCATAACCAATATCAATGCGTTAATTGATAAAGGCCTGAAAGGGCAGTTGAAAGTGGAAGCGGTTGTTTCAACGCTTCAGGAACTTGTGGTAAGTAAATTAGCGCGATATTGAACGTTTGTGTTAATAAGTGTTTGCAGACGTTACATCCAGACATACCATCGATAATATTAGATGTGTTAAGTATAACAGATGCATCATGTATACCCGATAGTAGTAATGAAGACTCTAAAGAAAGGAATAATTTGTGTTTTATTATTAAAGAATGTGAAAAGGTTTGTGTAGAGCAAACATCTTCAAAAGATGTAGTCTTAAGTGTTAAAGTTTTTAGATTCTCTCAGACCAACTGTTGAAAGAACGATTGGAAATAGACAGTTTACAAGAAGTTGGAATTTTAAAAAACAAAACTTTTTATTCGAAATTTATCAAAGTGAAGACGAAATTATAGTAAGTATTGCAACAAATCAAAAAATTTATGTAGTTGGTGTTTGCTTTTCTTGCTGGTGGTATATAAAAAAGTTAAAAGTTACTGCAACTTAAATTGCATACAATCGTGCATTTCATGAAAGAAAAACTTTAAATCAGAGCATGTTTTATATATTATGCTTTTATGAACATCATGTCCTAGTGCACATTCACTGTAATTAATTGTTAAGGAAAAATTAATTTAAAGAATGTGCTACATAATAGTTTGCGTTAAGACTGTCTCTTTATTTTAATTTAAAAAAATTGGAGATTTTGTATAACGCTGACAGACTATATTTAAAATTCCTCTGTGATGTGCTCCCTTTTTACTTCCCGAGCGTAAGCAAAGGAAGTATTGTAATCGAGTCCGTCGGCCGACTCTCTACTTTTACGTTTTCTCGATCTTTCATGACCCCTAGAAGACGAAGAAATAGGTCTCCCATTTCCGTCTGTCTGTCCGTCTGTTGTCACGGATTTTTATTAGACAGATAATCTCCGAAAGTACTCGACCGATTGTTGTGAAATTTTGTACTTATATTAAGAATATCATGTAGATGGTAAAACGCTAACCAAAATTTGTCGAATCATCCCCACCACTAAAGCGATGACGTCACTTCAAAATTGTACATAGTAAATGGGTTTTCAATTGTATAAAATAACATAGTCCTACACATGTAGTTTACAACTCTGAATCGACTTTTCACCCGAAACGTCCAGATTTTTGGAAAAAAAATCAAAATTATAAAACAACATTTTGAAATTTAATTTTTAATCTGCTAACCAGAATGCTTTGAAATGTTGCAGATGTTTTAAGGCTATAAAGAGCATCATAAATCTTTAGTCAACAAATATTTGCTTATCCCCTCCAAAAACTTGATGACGTCAGCTCAAAAGTTTGTGGAATAAATCATATCTAAAATGTACAAAATATGATGAGTCTGTACTTGTGAACTATCACTCCATTCATATTTTTTGGATTTGCATATACAGGGTGACTCAAAAAAATTAATGAATGCGTAAATATATTTTATTGATTTAATCAGGAACTACAAAACCGAATGCTCTGAAATCTTGCAGATGTTTTAAGGTCATAAAGAGCATAATAAATGTTTAGTCAAAATATATTTGCTTATCCCCTCCAAAAACTTGATGACGTCAGCTCGAAAGTTTGCCGAATAAATCATATCTAAAATGTACAAAATATGATGAGCCTGTACTTGTCATTTATCACTCCATTCATATTTTTTGGATTTGCATATACAGAGTGACTCAAAAAAATTAATGAATGCGTAAATTTATTTTATTGATTTAATCAGGAACTACAAAACCGAATGCTTTGAAATCTTGCAGATGTTTTAAGGTTATAAAGAGCATAATAAATTTTTAGTCAAAATATATTTGGTTATCTTCTACAAAAAACTGATGACGTCAGCTCAAAAGTTTTCCGAATAAATCGTATCTAAAATGTACAAAATATGATGAGTCTGTACTTGTGATTTATCATTCCATTCATATTTTTGGATTTGCATATGCAGGGTGACTCGAAAAAATTAATGAAGGCGTGAATTTATTTTATCGATTTAATCAGGAATTACAAAACCGAATGCTTTGAAATCTTGGGAATATTTTAAAGTTATTATAAGCATGGTAAACTTTTGTTCAAAATGTATTTGTTCATCCCTCCTAAAAAAATTGATGACGTCACCCTTAAATTTTGCTGAATAAATCCTATCTAAAATGCAAAAAATATGATGAGTTTGTACTTGTGATTTATCATTCCATTCATATTTTTTAGATTTTCTTAAGAGGTGGTTCAAAAAAATTAATGAAGTCAATTTATTTTATTGATTAAATTAAAGGCAACACTTATTATTAGTATTACACCCCAACCAACCCAATTTGGTAGACACAAAATTTGTTAAAGGAAAAACTCGGTTGAAACATAAGGGTAGCACGCTTATTTACATCGACTTTAACATTACAGACCTGCATTTGTTTTATGCGTTCACTTGATTCCGCGAATGTGAAATAGACATGTTTATAATCAACCAATTGTGAATTTCACCGTCAAGAATTAAAATAAAACCCAATGTTTTATATAATAAGCGGAAGTCGAAGCAATAAAACCGACGGTCGTTTTGTTTACAGTTTCTGTGTTTGGCTCTCACGTATGCTGTTACGCCTGTCATCTTAAATTAACAATGTTTATACATACACGATTTTCAGTTGCCTCTGATACGTAGGTATACGTGAGTAAATTGTTTCGTTATTTTATTGATTATTACAAATCAATATTCAAACGACCCAATTCATTTTCCCGAAAATTTGAGAATATAATAATTTTATTCTTAGTATTACACTACATCTATCCCAACTGATATACGTGTCCTTGCAAAAATGTTGATGACGTCATCGCAATTTTTTTTTAAATTCCCACTACAAAAATGTAATGAGAAAAAAAACACAATAGGCATGCAGTCGTCAAGTTTCCGACAGCGAGGGAAGTACTGTCTAAACTCTTTAGACCAATTTTTAAAAGGTTGCAGTTGGGAATTTAAGCTGACGAGGGCCACTTGAAATTTCCGTAAATGTTGTGTTTGTACAGAAGTGGCAATAGGGCTTCCCAAGTTAACTTTTGTTAGGGCGATGATTTTTGGGGTGAAAATAGTCTTGGGGTTGTACTCTACTTTTGATTAAAAAATTTTGGTACATCATAGAAGGTTTTGACTTATCATTTTAACTTGTCATTTTTGACAGCATAATTTTTATTTAATCATGAAATACCTTTATTGCAGTGTTTAGATAAGAAACAGAATGATGGAATTGAAACATAAACGAAGAAAATAAAAGATAATTTCACTGAAATTGCGTTTTTAATGTCCACGATCGAAAAAAACCTGTGTTTATAAATCTGCCATAATTTTTAAATTGTGCTCTTGCTGGGTGTGGGACGATGTGGAATGCTGCAGTAAAATTTTGGGCAATTTCTCTGTTGTTGATAAGCCTTTAGTGCATCCATCAGTGACCATTTCCATTTTTTCTTTAATTGTGTACTGTGTACGAATTTCGGTCACTAAAAACGAGTAATCAAATTTTAGAAACATCAGATAAATGCCTGTTTTTACATGGCTGCCTATAATTTTACTGACAAAAATATCCACATATTTTAATTTTTTTAAGAAATATCCTTTAATTTCAAGCAATCAAGCATAACCTTTAACAAAATCGACAAAAGATGACCCAAAGTACATTCAGTAAAAATTTCAATTCTGAATCTTTACTCAAGCATAAGTTAACATGGGGTATAATAAAATTTAACATGGGAATCCCTATGACCACTTTTAAAAAAAAATGCACAATATAACTAAAACCATGGGCAAAATTCTAGTATCATACAAGTTGAAGAGGACGTACTTTTGTATTTCTAACAATAATTCTCGTGTACTTCGCAAAATTATTTATTATACGTCGTCACCAAAATTTGAAAATGAATTGTTCTGTAGATAATAATCGTTGGATGTTCACTATTAGCGCAATATTTCTTCATGGAATGTTATCAGTTTTAACATTTTCCATACAATAGGTTGTCAAAGTGTGCAGTAAAAAATTAGAACAGATAAGTGTTTATTTACCTGGAAAGGATGGGCTCGATCTTTTTACATCCAAAAAAAAGTAATGAAAAAGTGTAAAACACACAATTTTGATAATGAAGAAAATCAACATTTATTTGTGCATTTTGCTGCAAACACATGTCAGGTGTAAAAACCTACAAAAGTGACCTTAATTTAAAGATCTGACTTTTCTGTACATTATGAACATTAATTTTTAGAGCTGTGATAATAGATACAAGCGCGGCTTGTAAACTTATCACTTCCACTGTGGTTAGAACAAACAAAAACAAGAATTTTTAACAATGATTTGTTATCACAGGGTATTAAGAAGTTTGGCTTTCCATAAAATAGCGGAATAGACATACTATTATGTCTGTGTTAGCAAATTTTTATAGTACCCCTTATTACCATATTTCATTGAATATGTACTTTGTTAGTGGTTCTGTTTTGTTCTTTGGCAAGAGTGTACTGAACCTTTTTAGTGTTTTTGTTGCAATTTCAAATGGAAAACTTGTCCGAAGTTTTTAGTTACTCATACATTTTCAATGTAACGATAAAATATCAAATTAAAGTGGTCTAAAAGCAATGGCCAGATAACAGAAATATATTTTCAGCTACAAACAACGAAAGTTTAATTTATTCCGCGAAGAATGTGAAGGTTTCGCAAAACTACAAACCGAATTGAACCAAGAATTTGGCGAAAACACGAACCATGAAAACGTGTTAGATATCGTGCAATCTTTAATTGGATGTTTTAATCTTGACCCAAACCGAGTTCTCGACATTATTTTAGAGAGCTTTGAAAACAAACCAAAGGATGCGAAACTATTTGTTCCTCTAATATGCGCGTACATGAAAGACCCAAAAATCGTCAGTGAAGTGTTAGCATCGAAGTTCACGTTTTTGAGAAACAGCGAAAGCAGTGTACCCCGATCTTTATACATACTAACCGCACAATTACTTCAACATAATATTATATCGCTCGATGACATTTACCTATGGGTGAGTCCGGTCTTCGGTACGGCGAATTTTTGCTAAAAAAAAAAATCGTTTCAGTTGACTCCGGAAGATAAAGTTATGTATAAAGAGTGTGAAAAAGCTATGAAAGATGCTAAAGAATACGTCCGGAAATTGCAAATAATATCGATTAATAACAAGGAGAAAGAAGAGACGCCTGAAGAACCCGAGAATGTGTTGGAGAAATACAATTCTAACCAGAAGTTGGGTTTATGTGAGGCTCTACTTTTAGTAGGAGATTGGGAAAACGCGAAAAACTTAATTAATCGTTTGCCGGACCATTATGCATTATCATTCCAACCTATCGCGTTAGCTCTTTGTAAATTGCTTCATTACATAATCGAACCCGTTTATCGAGAGTAAGTTCTTAGTGGTAATGTTATTGCAGCACTTATAACTCAGTTGTAGATTTTGTAAATTGGGACCAAAAATCAAAGGAAAACCTATTCCACCACACGATAATCCTCTTAGCCCCAAGCAAGCCAAAACGTTTCTAGAACTCCGTGAACATGCCATACCAATGTTGATAACATTAGGAGCGTCGTTACGTTTCGACCCTGTTTTGATGTATAAAATTATAAGAATTGCTAAAGCGGCGTTGACTTCTTACGGGGTTGACTCTTCAAAATCACCATGTCCTTCTGGAGACACTTTATATCATGATATTCTTACCATTCTGGACACGACAATTCTTTCATCTTTGTCATACATGGATTGCAACTGTTGCATAGCTGAAGAAGTTTGGACTGTACTAAAACTTTATCCATATCAAAATAGGTACTGTCTTTACAGCAGATGGAAAAACGAAACTTACTCTTTGTACCCCGATTTACTACGTAAAAGAGGAGATTCGGAGAAACAAATCAAGAACATCATGAAACGCGTCAGTAAAGAAAACATTAAACCAGTTGGTAGATTGATTGGAAAACTGACACACTGTTCGCCAGGGTTTTTGTTCGACTATATTTTGTTACAAATTCAAGTTTACAGTAATTTAATACACCCCGTTGTTGATTCGTTGAAATATTTAACAAGTTTATCGTATGATGTTTTGGGATTTTGTTTAGTTGAATGTTTAGCTAACGCTGATAAAAAACGAGTGAAACATGATAGTACGTCTATATCAACATGGTTACAAAGTCTCTCGAGTTTTTGTGGAGCGGTATACAAAAAATATATTATCGAATTGACGGGACTTCTACAGTACGTCGCTAATCAGCTGAAAGCACAAAAAAGGTAGGTTTCAAGCTACAATAAAATGCTTCTCTTTACCGTCTTTCTTAGTTTGGATCTTCTCATTTTGAAAGAAATCGTTCAGAAAATGGCAGGCGTTGAAGCTGCCGAAGACTTGACTATGGAACAAGTTAATGCAATGGCTGGTGGTGAGCTATTGAAAGCTGAAGTACGTTGTTTTTGTGTTTTAATATGTTTTATTAGTGGCTTGATTTTTAGGCAGGCTATTTAAGTCAAGTTCGCAATACAAAAAAATCGTCGTTGAGACTGAAAGAGGCAATGTCTGAGCATAATTTAGCCGTTGCTTTATGTTTATTAATGGCACAACAGAACTACTGTGTTGTTTATAGAGAGACTCAAAAGAACCATTTGAAACTGGTTGGGAAATTAGCGGACCAATGCCAAGACACATTGGTACAGTTTGGGACGTTTCTGGGATCTTCGCTTTCTGTCGATGAATACGTTAATAAGTTGCCAACGATACAGAGTATGCTTTTAGATTATCATATTCCCAACGAAGTGGCGTTCTTTTTGGCAAGGCCGATGTTTAATCACGCCATAAACGTAAGTAGTTTGTAATTTTTCCAGTTTTTCTTTCAATGGTTGTCTACGTTTGTAGATAAAATACGACCAGTTAAGAAAGTCAGATCCTAATTACAAAAAGTTGTCAACGAACGTAAAAAATCAGAAATACTACGAAGCCGTGACGGAAGTCATGGAACCCGTACATAAGTCCATTATTCCTCTACATCCCGCCAAAATTTGGGAGGATATCTCACCACAATTTCTCACCACATTTTGGTCCCTCACAATGTATGACCTCTACGTACCTGATGAAACGTACCAACAAGTAATAACGAAAACCCGTCAGCAGTCTCAAGCAACGTTAGAATCAAGCAATAACAACAAAGGCAAGAAAGAACAAGAACGTTACGTAACCTTAGGCGAAAAGTTACAAGACGAAAAAAAGAAGCAACATGAGCATGTGGAAAAAGTGATGTACAGATTAAAGCAAGAAAAAGACACGTGGTTTCTGTCTCGATCGGCTAAGTCCGCCAAGAATGAAACCATCACGAGATTTTTGCAGCTGTGCTTATTTCCACGATGCACTTTTACTTCAATTGATGCAGTGTATTGTGCGAAATTCGTCCACGTAATTCACATGCTTAAGACACCGAATTTTTCGACGTTATTGTGTTACGACAGGGTAAATTTTTGAAAGAAAAGTATGAACATGTAGTGATTTATTCTCTTTTTTAGCTATTTTGCGATGTTACCTATTCGATTACTTCGTGTAGCGAGAACGAAGCCATGCGTTATGGACGATTCTTGTATGCCATGCTTGAAACTGTGATGCGTTGGCACAAATCAAAAGAACTTTTTGAAAAAGAGTGTGCCAATTATCCGGGTTTTGTTACTAAATACCGACTGAATAATCAACATGCTGACAATTTGGATAATGTTGGTTATGAGAATTACAGACATGTGTGCCATAAGTGGCACTACAAACTAGCTAAGGCTATGGTGACGTGTTTGGACTCCAAAGACTACGTACAAATCAGAAATTCCTTGATTATCCTTATCAAGATCATTCCATTTTTCCCGGTCTTGCAAAAGGTCGGACAGTTCATAGAAAAGAGAATAGAGAAGGTCAGAGACGAAGAGAAGAATAATAGGCAGGACTTGTTTACTTTGTCCAGTAGTTACCTGGGATTGCTGAAACAGAGAATCATCAGCGGACACATGGTGAAAGAAAGTGATTTCCATATTTTGGTGGAGAAAGAAAAGGTATATAGATTTTAAAATTATGAAAAAAGAAAAACGTTGTGTGTGTGTTCTAGGTGGTGAAAGGTCACGACAGTAAGAGCGACAGTGGTTCGAATAAGCATAACGGAGAAGTTAAAGGTAAGTTTTTTAAATATACTTATTACTTAAAAAGGATAAAGTATCCGTTTAATTAGTTGATTTTGTGAGTTTTTGTTGTAATAATGTCGCACCTACTACTGAAAATTACAACTTGTGTTGACTTTAATATACATACAGGGTTAGTATAAAGTCCCGGAACGATTTAACAACTTTGTTATTTGAAAAGTTTTTTTTTTGCAAATTTTGTGTGGGTATACTAGCTGCTAAGGCAAGACTGATTTTGGCAAATGACATACCTTCCAAGAAAAGAGAGGGTGGGTGGGCGGGGATAGAACCTGCTAGAATAATAGATTTTGGAAAATGAAATCCCTCTAACAAAATAGATGGTGGGTGGACTGGGTTAAATGTTCTTAAATAAGATCTATTTTGGCAAATGCCTTTCACTCTAAAAAAAAAGAGAGGGTGGGTAGGCGGGGCTAGGAACTGCTAAGATAAAACTGAATTAAATGTGCAAATTATGATGGGCAGTGCGCGGAATTATATCTCAGTGTTGCAATCCTTCAGTTGAAAAAAGGTTTGTTTAACGGGGAGTAGCGGGGACGCTTTCATCTGATTCACAAGGACGTAGCGAATGCGTCGCTAGGAGTGTTTACAGCTAGTAAAAAAACTACTTCTATATTACTATATTACTTCAAATAATAATACTCGATGCCCTTTTTAATTTTTCAACCACAGGACTACATATTTGTGATCTTGAAATGTTATATAATATTGATATAGTCCAAAAGAAAAATATATTTGTCAGCACTGGATCTCGCCTATGAGTTATTATTCCACGCGTTGATGATGAGTCAATACTTGTGATTTATCACTGCATTAATATTTTTTAGTTTTGCTTGTACGGGGTGTCTCAAAAACAGTACAGACACCCCGTACAAGCAAGTTTTTAGTTTTTTGTCGGCCAGGAATGTCGAGATTAATTTGGCATGTAATAAATTTCACAACTTAAAAAAAGTGCCTTTGATAGTTTGTCTTCGCCTGTTATCCTCGATGTGACTCTTAATTTACATACAATCGAAACTTTACCTGAAGGTATTTTTAATAATCACAGTTGGCTATCGGTTGATCTAACCTATTCTCTCAAGGAGATTTCGAGACATTTTTGCGACGAACAATGTGTCGTACAAATTTTTGAATTCGATTGCACTCATCTAACTTTGGAAGACGAAAGAAGTGAATTTATATGGAGGTGGATGTCTTCAGTACAATCAAAATGAAATGTCACAACCTACAAGGCTATGTGCTGGCACAAGAAATTTTGACAACCCTTTTTCTTGGCAGTTATATGTTATATGTCCCAACTATATCTGAAGGACTACGAGTAGATGATTTCTACACTGATCAACACATTGTGAAAAAGTGTTGATAAAATAATTAAGGTTTTATTTTTAATGTCTGCTTGTTCCAAATCACAGTACACATGAACATCGACAATCCAATTTCAATTAGCAGCTTTGTGAAACTTTCTCTGAAATACGGGTAATGTGAATAATAAATAAACCCTAATGGTTTCAATAATATATTGTTAATAAAAGTAAGTCGAAACAGTAGCCCTCGTTATAATAACTTTCTCCGTTAGGATAATAATGAAAATAAAAAGCCTATAATGTCGAATTCGGAACATTTCAAAACTTACTTGAAGCTATTAAGGCTCTTAAAATTTTGATGCAAACGACTCGTTTTAATTTTTTTCATAAAATCCATTTTGCGTTCGAAAAATGTAATTTTGGAAGTCATTTCCATAACTTAGTCACACTTTTCACCGAAAACGTCCCTTACAAAATGTCTTTACTGGAAACATTTTTGTTCGTTACTTTTTACAAACACGTGCTGGCTTGTAGCTCGTATTCTTTCAACTACGAAATATTTGGACAAAAAGGGTTTGCACAACATTTTTATAACGTAGAAGAAATCAGTGAATGTTATGACAATCACTCTGTCTTCGTCGACAGTTATTATATTCCAGAATTGTGTTGCAAAATTTTCGCTTGCAAGACTATTTTGGAGGCAATTACGTTTAACAATTGTTTTATTAGAAAATTTGAAGAACACTGCTTTTCCGACTGTGTACAAAATGTTCGTTCCTCAATCGGAGTTACCAGAAATCCTATAACTACAATAAAGAAACACACATTTAGAGACCTAGTCGTGACGCAGATTGATTTAAGCAACAATTTTATTGAAGAATTAGAAGATGAAGCTTTCCTCAATTTGAACAATTTGTTGATTATGCATTTAGATCGCAATCTTTTGACAGTCATAAATCCCAAAGCTTTTGCGTTGATACCGCGTTTACAAAGTTTGAGCTTGCTCGAGAATCGTATTAAAACTTTACAAACGGGATTTTTTAGTTTGTTGTCGGCAAGGAATTCTGAGATTAATTTGGCATGCAATGAAATTTCTCAGCTTAATAAAAGTGCCTTCGATGGTTTGTCTTCGCGTGTTATCCTCGATTTGACTCTTAATGGAAATACAATCGAAATTTTGCCCGAAAATATTTTTAATAATCACAGTTGGCGATTAGTTGATCTGGCCTACAATCCTCTGAAGAAGATTTCGAGACATTTTTGTGACAAACAGTGTGTAGTGCAATTTTTTGAATTCCATTGCACTTATCTAACGTTGGAAGACGTCGAATTTATTGTTGACTGGGCAGATGCGAATGAAGTGAGCTTGAATGGAGGAGGATGTCTTCAGTACAATCTAAGTGTCATGTCACCTACAAAACTGTGTGCTGGTGCAAAAAATTTGGCGACACTTTTTCTTGGCAGCTCTATGCTGGTTTTTATTTACTTCTTTTAAAGTGTATCTGAAGAACCACAATTTGATTGAGTAGCTGATGGTAGGACGGAATGCTTTTAACTTCGATTTCTATATTGAACACGATCAGTAAATTGTGAAATGAATATATGGCACGAATAAAAATCTATTAAACCTGTGTCTTTTTTTTTTAATATAGGTAATGTTTTTGTTCAGAGGTCGTAAATATTTCATAAAGCTAGAAAGTTGTATAAGTTTTTAATTCCCGAGCGTAAGCGAGTTTTTGAGTTAATTTTGGGACTTCGGGTATTTTTTTTTTTTAATTTAAAACAGTGTTGAGATTCTAGGTATGGAATGAATTGGAAAGTGCTTTGGAGTCTCCAGCGTCTTTTCTTATAATACCTTAATTAAATTTCTTATGTAGTTAAACATGGCGACTTGATTACAATACTTTTCCTTTTTTTATCGGTATTGGTTTGACACACAAGGCCACCTATTTTTTTTTTTTTAATGGAATACCCAGGTTTTTTTGACATTTTCTGATGCAGAACTTCAGAAATTATCAACATGTTTATTTCTGTTGTTACAAAAAAAATCACGTCATTTTTGAAAATACTAATAAAAAATAAACTATGAGTGGGACTACAATAAATATTCAAAATGTTCTCCGTTTACAATTTGACAGTGATGTAATCGATCAACAAAAGGTCACAATGAATTATGTATGATTATGAATGAATAAATCAGTCTTAACAGGTACCAGCCCCACCCACCCGCCCTATCTCTCTCCTTAGAGGGTATGTCACTTGTCAAAATTTGTTTTATTTTAGCGGGTACTAACCCCGCCCACCCGCCCGTTCTTTTCTTACAGGGTATCTCATTTGTCAAAATCAGTCTTATCTTAGCAGCTACTAGAGCCGCCCACCCACCCTCTCTTTTCTTAGAGGGTATGTCATTTGCCAAAATTTGCTTACGCTTGGGAAGTAAAAACTTTTCAAATAACAAAGTTATTCGACCGTTCCGGGACTTTATACTAACCCTGCGTATATATAATTTTTAACACAAAATTTTAACAATTTGTTCACAAAACTTTACTGATTGCTGTGTTACATGAAGTAGTCAAAATGCAAAAAAAGTTATAAAAGATTGCACTTCATTAGTGATTCCAAAAACTAAATATCTTTGTTTTAGAAGACAGCAACAAAGAAAAAGCTGATAAGAAGGCCAAAGTTGAAGATTTAAAGGTGGTATCGAGGACGTCTCAAGGTTCCCAAGGATCTGGCGATTATAACACGTAATTAATTATTTACACATCTCCTGCAACATTCACATTTATTTTTCTGTAGTTGGGAAAGATCTGAAAGGACATACAAAGAGGAACCAAGAGAAAAGCACCGACGAGAAGAAAAACGTGACGATTTCGATAAAGAACGAGAAAGAGATAAGCGCAGAGAACGTAAAGAAGAAAAGATAGCGAAGCAAGAAGAAAGACAATACAGAGTAATTCATCTTTTCCTTGTACATTTCAAATTTTATTTTTCTGTATTTTTGTAGGAAGAGCGATACACTGAAATCAGCCCGAAAGAGGAAATCCGATATTCAAGTGATAGACAGGTGGATAGATACTATGAAGAAAGAGGGGGGCACTACTACCGAGAAGTCCGTGATGAACGAGAAATCGGGTTGAGTGGGGGCAATAATGGATCAACTAGTATGGGAAGACATAGTCAAGAACCCGAGACCGATAGAGGTAACAAAAAAAAAAACACCCACCGAGTAGTTTTTTCACTAACTTTGTTTTCTGTTTAGATGTAAAAAGAAGAAAAATGGATGGTTCTTCTTTGAAGGTTAGTATCGGAGTGACGTAACATCGATGCAGATTTCAGGGTTCGAACACCCGCTCTGGTATTTTCTTTGTCCGACACTGGGAGATTGGGCTGAAATTTTCATAGTCGTGCCGTAAAGTGTTAGATCTGTCACGAAAGTGTTGTAGACTCGAGTGCTTTGTGTGTCTGAAAAACTTTTTGCTGTTTTAATGGTTACCAACACGACATGCACGAGTTTCTAATTTTGACCACGGGTTCCTCACGATAATATTCCATCCTCCTTTCACGACTGTTTGTCATTTCGGTGGAGATTTACAACTTAATGATTTCGTCGCTAAACGTCGTCACTATGCCATTGAGTCCTATGTTACCGAAGGAACGAGTATACGAATCGAGCTCTTTAAAAATGGAAGATTGTAAACGAAAAGTTAGATTGTCCGTCAGCAACGATCAATTCACAAGATGTCCACGTTAAAAACTCGAAATGCGATCGTAGATTTGTTTCTGGAATGGTGTTGTTTTGAAGACGAGTGTGTCAAGTGTGAAGAAAATTCTAAGAAGTGAAGGAGAAGAAGATAAATATGAGGTGTATGAAGATTTAGTAATTTTAAGTGTCAAAAGTGAAAGTCGTGTAAGGGACAGTCTGCAATCAGCCCAATCTTCCATTTTCTTAGTAATTTTGGGAAGGGATCCACTCACAGGTAGGTTCCGGATTAAATATGGATTTCCTCCAATACGTGCAGTTCCTTTTATGAATTACATTCTTTAAATAATTTGGTTTCTAATGAAAAACGCTTGCCGGCTGGTCGTATTGCTTAACTTATAATTTCTGTTAGTTTGTTAAGGTCACTTTTTCTTTATCTTTATTTGCATGGGATGAGTTTACGTTTATATTTTTCTTTCTTTTTGTCTACAGAATTATAATTAATATTGTAAATGGCTTGTTTTCACTCATTTTAACATCGTTTCAACGTAATTAGAATACTTCCAGTTCACTTAGAACCGCAGTAGATGTTACCTGTTTTTGGGATAACAGCATTGTGACTACGGTCGCCAAATTTTTCTTTATAGACTGCTGAACACCATCCTAGTAAATAACATAAATACCGCTGGGATTCAAAATAAAACCATCTTCAGCTTTTTGTGCAGTGTCCATAACCATTACTCTCGGATGTTTGTAGTTGCGCGTTTTGTAGAAAAGAAAAAAACATGTTTTTGTACGACAGACTATTTTGTTCAATACACAAGTTTATTGATATATATTTTATAGTAAATCGAGTATATGAACAAAATTGACCTGTACCATTAGAGTTACCCAAATAACATCCGAATTTTGTCACTTATTATTGTGTTGTTTATTATCAACTATAATAAAAAGGTGAAGGTAAAAACTTTGAAACCGGGAACGAAGCAGCAAGTAAAGATAAAATACACAGACTGCTTTCTTATGAAGGTTAATATTTTAGAAATCCTAATTTTTTATATTATTATGTATTTTTTTTTATTTTTTTTTAATATTGCGATTTTTCTTTGCATGTAGAGATTAAGTAATGTTATTTAAGTCAAAAATGTTTATTTTTTTGTACTATTTAAAAACAGAGTTTATGTAAACACAACAACCGCAAGACCTTGAGCAATAAAAAAATCTTCATGGAAGACGGATCGGATCAATCCATAATTGCAAGACATGGTCTTGAATTTTATGGTAAAGAGATTGAGAATGTACCTGACACAGGGCCGATCACTTCTGCAACTTGATTTTTGAATATTAAATATTTCGTCCTCAATTAGTTTTTGAAAAAAAACTTACTTTTTGGTTTTAAATAAAGATTCAACATGTGTGAAACTTTTTTCAGCTTAAATAGTTTTAATTAGTCTTTCCAAAGAAAAAGAACATTTTGAAAAAAACTAATAAAATTAATTTGGTGTTTAATAAAGACAAATTTGAAACAATATTAACAATAGCATTCTTCAATTAAACAAAATGTATTTAGTACTTAGTTAACTCATGCTCTTTTTTGTACATGTTATATTTGGTTTGAGGTTGACTCCAATGCTTCGAATAACAATAAAAGTAATGATTTAGGGCCTTGATAGTAATATTAACGATTTTATATTCCTAGTAGGTGCGTTGATTTTCATTTATACCATACCAGTATTTTTTATTACATACATTGCTTAGTGAGTGATGTGCCCAAGTAGTTTTATGTTGAGTAAAGTGGAGTAAATTTTGTGTAATACCTGTAGACAAGTGTCCTGCGGAAACTACTAATGTATTGTTTTCATATTTTCTTGGTAACCATATCAAATTATCAAGATATGTGTACATAACTTCTCTCATCTCTGACCTGTATCTCGAAACTATTTGCAATACTTTATCTTTTTGGTGTAATATTTATTGTAATAATTTTGATGTATACGTTACATATTATTACTGTACATGTTAAGCAAATGTCCAAAAAATGTTACTAAAGCTTACTTTGAAAGAATGAGATAGCGCCATCAACGTTTTGATAGAGGTATAATAAATATATTAATTTTGGTATGTGTGTACCAATCGCGATATTATCTTGCAAAAATTTGACGTAAATTAAATGAACCGAAGGTTAGATGTAAAATAGACGCGTAGTTGATAATCACTTGTATCCTGTCTAATCAAATGTACCGGGAATATTTTATTTAGTCCCTATGTTCGATTTTGAAAAACACAGGTCAATGCATTGAAAGTATACAACCAACGTCAATAATACATACTTGGTTTTGTAGAACAAGAAATTTCACATTAGTTGGTCATTTTTTATGACGACAGGGTTTTTTTCTGCATTCCATAAGATCTTAAACTTTTCTCCCGTTAAAACATTTTATTTGTTCTATTTTTTTGTGGCTATTTAAATTTTTGTAATTTATTTTACGACAATAATTCAAACACGTTTAAATCAGGTAGGTCAACGTAACAGTGGTTGCATATTTTTCATGCTATCTGTATTTTTTAAAACTGAACATGGAAACAAAGCATAGATTATGTTCAGAGTAAAAAACAAATGTCCCGGGTTTTTTTTTTGTAAATAAAAGTAATAGTAGTTAAATTTGAACCGGAAAAGACTCAAACGTACTAGAATGTGCTGATTAATTGATTATTATGTCCTGTTGATAAGCCACTTTTACCTGTTTGAAAAAAATAGCCCTACAACACAGTACTACAAATTTGCAAATGATCGACAAAATTCAGTATTTTGACCATTGCAACATTTTAAAAGAAACAAATTACATATTATAACCTTAAAAATCTGATAGTTTCTTATTTTAGATGTTTGGATTCCAAAGCTTTAAAAAAATTACATAATCAACTGAGCCATTGAGCCTCAATTGTATCTCCGTTAAGTCGTAAAAGTGCCAGTTACATAACTTGAACGTGTAGAGTGTGTTTTGGGTTGCCTGAATATCCAGCGCCCTTACGAAAAAATTAAGTTATTCAAAATTAATGCCGCCAAGATTTCAAATGTCCTAAAAATCATACAAAACCTTTTGTTTATAACAATTCAAATCGTTTTGACCCTCAGCCTCTAGACACAAATTGACTCTTCGTTTCATATTTTCAAGTCGTCGATGGTGTGCACAGGTTGTTTGAAAGTGGTGTTATTCTATGTCGGGAATGCGAAATAATCCAAATATGTCAAATCTGGTGATCAAGGTGGGTAGATGTGGAGAGTGTGGTAACTGATCAAACGTTCATACATATAGTGATCTTGGAATGGAAGCTGTTAGGCAACTCACAATACACCTTTCAAGTTCAAGTTACACAACACGTTTCACTGCTGACGTGAGCGTCGTGTGTAACTAGAGCAGAAGTTTAAAAAATCGCCCTGTATGAGTAGATTATGATAATGAGGTCTACCTTTTTGAGTATGGAAGACACATCGTCTAGTTGTCATTTGAATGTAGCAAACATAATTTTTCCTTGTTAATAAACGAATATATGAGTCGTAATCGTAGTGTACCACTGAATAAAGGAAAACTATTTTATTGTTATATTTTTTGTAGTTCTTGCGCACCACCTATCATTTATTTATGTATATCAATTTTACGTTTAGAGAAGTTTCGAACGTATAAAAATATTGTAGAAGTAGTTTTTACAACGAGGTACATCGTACATATTGAGTAAGTCATGTGGTACAGAATGGACAAATTTTGGGGTATCTATAGCATTGATGATGATAATAAAATAAATGATATTTTTCACCAATCGTAAGCAATTTCATTTTTTCAACGACCATTGTCTTTACTACTTTTCTTTTTTGATATCTGGAAAGATTATTATCGCTAGGAAAAATTTTTAATTAACAATCTGGGACCTGCGAAACCTTTCTTCAGAAAGTTCATCTTTACATTATAAGATGTAGGTGTGAAGTACCAATTTTTGCTAATATTTTTATATATAATTCGTAGTAAATTATCGTTGAGCTGTCTGCAAGATGTGTATGCTATCATTTGCTTAGTACCTGAGTACCTATTATTTATTTTATTTAACCAATTTTGCTTTTCGAAAATTTCATCTTGTTTTTATAAAGGAAACTGGTAAAGTTTCTGAAGAATAATTAAATCACAGTTCATTTTAGTTTTTGTGCTTGTGAAAAATTTCCATTGTCTTCATTGATAAAACATAAATGGGTCACAGGTTTCGGTATTTGATGGCTTGCAATAAAATAATATTTTTCCTGATTACCTGTTGCAAAAATGGACGGAATTGCTGTTAGCATCAGCACAGGGAAACGAAAAAGCGTCTTCATAATAGTTAGAGATGTCGTTACCTATTTGGAACAAGCAATCTAGCCAAGACATGGATTCGTTAAGACAAGACCGAAAAACGGAATTAACGAAGAAATACTTTAGTTGGGAAAATTAGTTACTTTATTGTAGCTAAATATCAGATGATCTGAAACGCCGTGACTTTTTTATACAATAAAGACAACGGGAAGATGGAATTATTTAGACGAATGTAATTCAAGGAAAATTTCCCATGCACGTTTTCAAGGACGCTTTAAACCACCTAATGATCCATTTATTGTTATAAAACTAGAGATTTAATTGGTGTTGTGCCAAAAAGCAAGTCGAGTTGACAGCTAGTACAAAGCAAGCGTACCGGAGGCTGCTATTGTGCAACACTGTCTCAAACCGCTCGTCTAATGCAGTACCCCTGGTTGTCTGCAGAGTTCGAAACACGAAGAGAGGAAACTTCAGCAACAACTGGATTACATGTTGGAGAAAACGGACAAAAAAGAACGTTCCGGAAAAGTAAAAGAGAAAAGGGAAAAACTAAGCGACGAGGAAAAAGAACTAAGGAAAGAGCGCAAGTTGGGCAGGAAAAGGGTAAACCACGATTTTCAGTTTTACTTAATAAACACTTTCAAATTCAGCAGGATAGAACTGAAGAAGCTTTGCAAGTTGACATGAAAAGGCGGAGAGAGGAAGAAAAAGGTAATTGTCGAAGGTACGTTTACTTTATTTAATATTGTTTACCAACAGCCGCGAAGATGTCGCATCAAAACGGAGAGATCATGGAACCCGTCCATCAAAGAGAAAAACACCATCGATCGAGAGTAAGTGTGTTTTTTATTTTGACATTTCTTATATTTTACACGTCTAGGATATATCACCGTACCCAAGAGAAAGATCGCACGATGACAGAATCGAAATAAGAGACAAACAATATCCTTTTCACAGACAGTTTTAATCATGCTCATTTTCTCTGTTAGCACGTTCATTTGTAAATCTTATTATTAAATTTCTTTCATTTTTTAGTTCCGTATTTTTTCTTTCGTTTCTAAATATCTTCATTTTCATTGCATGTTTCATCCTTGAAAGGTTTTTTCCTTAATTATAATTACCAGAAGAAGTGCCGAAAATAAAAGGAGATGATAATTTTTTATAGAAGGCGATGTATTTAAATTTATTTTTTAGTAATTTCTTAAGATGTATTACATGCATATATGGAATGTACGTTACTGATGTGATTTGTAGAATATTAAATATGATTTGAAAATAAAAGCGGTAATGTGGTATATTATTAAATGGCCTTTTACCCCATTATCCATCCCTACGATTCCTATTGTAATTACATATTTTTTGGAATACTCTTACTAGTACAGCATACAACATACGAAAAAGATAATGGGTAGTAGAAAAAAAACTGAATATTGCTCGCTGTTTAAATGTTTATTTGACTTTTTTCAGTGTCAGGCCAAGAGTGACATAATTGCTGTATTTAGTTACGTTGCGTTTGATTACCAGAGAAACAACAATTTACCAAAATGGTTAGAATGTATAAATTTTTGCTGTAAAACGTTATCCTTACCAGAAAGTTGGGACTAGAATGGGGCCATAGAACACTTACTTATGACTGCAGATTATTTGGGGACAGATCCATTGTCAGGGTACTTGACAGCTTCACAATAGTACCCTACCGTTTTGCTTCTGCATGACTATACCAGCACAATACATAAAATGTCCCTGGTGTTATATTATCAGTACTGAAAACGTGGTAAAATTTTAGTGGTTTTAAAATTCCCCAATTACAAGATTTTTATTATTATTATTATTTCATTGAAAATATCGCAGCAGTTGTAATAAATTTAATTTACAATTAACAAAGTAGAAGGTCGGGTAGGTAGTATTCGATAATGGCGACTTATTTTTTGCGATGGAAATATTTTGAAACACCGATAAAATCGAACTATAATGAAAAACACCTGGTAGATGTTCAACGAAAAAAGACAAGTAGCTGTCGAAGATTTAAAATACACAAAAGCTGCTGTCTTGCTAAAGATTTACCAACAGTGCAATTTATGTCGAATTATACGTGGTAATATTGAGAAAAATAAAAATGTATAGTTGTTACTTTTGATATAGATTGTATCAAGTATCTGTTTAAAATGTGACTTGGAACACATAATATTAACTCTTCAAGCTGAGTCGGGTGTTAAAAGTTTTAGGTTTTAAGTTAACAATTTAAAGTTCTCATATTTATTTCACACACACTTTTAAAGGGTGTGAAAGTATCCGGCCTTCACTCAGTATATCTCCCAAAAGTTTCTGTACTGTATAGAAACTAACAATTAGTAGAAATGCTTCTTAGAATAACAAATTTCGAATCAAATTTTAGTTTAAAAATGGTTTTAGAAACTATATTTATAAATTTGGACAATATACACACAATATTAAAGATGTTTCGTCAATTAAGGCCAGCTAAAAAGTGGTTGTTTTCCGAAAACATTCCAGACTCAACCAGAAATAAAACCTTACCAAGCCTGACCTGACGAACTCTTGTTTTTTAATTTTTATCCAAAATTTAACGTTTACTTCCAAATTATCAAAACAAAACAGCTGATTATGTTTTACTTAAAGAGATTGTAAATACTAAAAACTATTACACAATTGTATTGTTGGTTGCGTTTTGATTTTTTTGTAATAATTTTTTGTGTACATGCGTTTTTTAAGATTAATATTAGAATCTATCATCAGGGCAGATTTAGTATCACGATCAACAATATTTTAGAAGAAACAAGGGTACGTTGGGCGTGATAAGAACTCTATTGCTTATAAGATGTCCAGCAATTCTGATTTTTTAACAAATTCCCTTTTTATTTTCTTATGCGTAAGTCGAATAAATTCATCAACATAGATTTAACCTCCGATTTTGATGTTTTAAAAATAGGATCCCATATATATGGGTACAGACACATGATCAGAGTCAACAATGCGGCCTTGAAATGAGCAAACAAATTTGAAGCAAATGTTCACATCATCTTTAAAATTTATTTCTTCATTGTTACATAATTAATTTATGATGACAGGAATATAATTTCAAAAAGTTACGGGTGTAAGTTTTATAAGAAAAAAATAATTACCGGTTTGTCGCGAAAATATTATTCTAGAAAAGTTTTCAAAATATCGCTTTTGAATTCAACTTTTTCAGTTTATCAGCAATACTGTGATTTGTTAACATATGTTACAATTCATACGTGATAATAATGTCTTGATGTTTGTTCTACATGAATTAAAATGTTAATTTTCTTGTAATTTTGACAATGTATATATGGTACCCACATTTTACCTAATATCACAGTACAGAAAAAAACTGGTAGAGTTGGTCATGAAGCTGCTGCAATTTTTATGTTTAATTTATGTCTATTCTATACTACAGGAAGGAAAAGATCTGACTCAATGAGGCACTTTATTTCATAAAAATATGAAAATGTATACAATAATATTTAAAAATATAAATCTATTAAGTACTAATTTGGCCTTGTTTGACTAGGATTAGGCACATCACTAGTAATAAGTAATTAACATAATAAAAAATACGCAAAGCAAAAAGATCACATTCTTTGAAAATCTTTGGCAAAATTAAAATAAAAATATCAAACTTGGATGTCATTAACCTACAAGCACTCTTCAAATCTTATCATACCTACTTTTGTAGCAAACATTTCATCTACATACACTGTTCTTGTTCAATCTGATCTTGACATATACTTCCAACCAACAACCTCTTAATCCTGCTTTTTTCCTGTTTCCGCGATTTAACAGCCACAATTGGTTTTAAATCAGGTATAATACTTTCATTATGGCACTTTCTTTGGTGCTTTTTAAGTAGAAAATTTCTGGTGAAGGTAGAACTACAAATTTGACAATGGAAAGGCCGCTCTCCCGTGTGTATTAAAATATGTCGTTTTAAATCCGTGGGCCAGCCAAACTTTTTCGAACAATAATTGCACTGATACTTTCGGACTTTACCCTGCATTTCCTCTTCATCAGCCATTGTAACCAGACAAAACTTCAGTGGATTGACGTCTTCAACACCTGAGTCGCTTTCAACATCAGAATCAACTTTTTTCCGAAAATTGATAGGATATAGATCTGGTAACTTTTTTAGGGTCAATGGCTTTTCATTGTTTAAAGACTCCACAAGGCGGTTTGACGCATGTAAAGCAAAATGTTGCAGTAACGCAGCGGCTGTTTTAAATTCGCCTTGGCATTCTGAACACACCAAATCTAAAACAAAAATTTTTGATATTTGAAGATATTGAAGCAGTTTTCCTCACCTTGTAATTCCTGCATTACTACGCTATTTTGAGGTTAGACCTGGAGTGGTTGCGTCACTTCATTTTTTGTCAACTAGATATCACTTTTTTTTCTGAAGATCATTTTCATTTATTTTTCTTACAAATAACTGACGTTAGGCAGACATGTTTTTGTAACCTTACCCACAAGCCTTTGTTTACACCGGAACATCCGTTACATGGCAGTCGCCATTATTACTTTTGATGATTTTACAACGACAAATAATACACTTTTTCACGATACCACACACTGGTAGAAATAAAATACTTTGAAGAACAAGTTACTAAGCGGTTGGCAAAGGGTAAGTTCCATTACACTACTGTATTGCAATTTTTATAAGGCATGACGCACACTTTATTGTGAAAGTTAAATTTTTAAGATTATCGCCATTATTTCTACATAAATTTTATTGCCAACTATGTAACGCAAAATATAGTTGTTATATTTTTTAAACTAGTGAGTTTCCTCCGTAGGTCAGTCTTACACACAGAAACATCTTGTACAGGTCCGAATTATTAGTGTAATAATTTTATTCATAAGTGTAAATTGTCGGTTACTCAGATTTAGTAGAATTAATTGATAACATAAACAGATTAGTGTTTATTACAAATATAAATTGCGGAACATGCTCAATAATAAAAGCGTAAAATGACACAATCTGGCGTTGAAATCATCGACTAATATAAAAGACGCGCAACACAGGTGTACCAACTGTCGAGTTACGTTGTTTGGATCAATATGGCGGATGTACTGTCTGAAAAATACCGTTGGAGTAGTGTTTTTAAGACATTTCATTCACTGATAGTACACGTTTGCTCATAATATTGCAACAATTAGATAATATTTCTTGAGTTTATATTACCGAATATAATATACTGGTGATCAGTAGTCACGTGATTCAAAATGGCAGTACTCGTACTTGCATCCGACATAACATTGGACATGTACTTTATCTGTTTCTTACCAATTAAAAATAAATATTACACAAAGCTGTTGCATCCATATTATTTATTTTAATTTTTTGATTTAACATGACTGGATGACTTCGAATTTTTACATCATATGATGCATCCTGTGTTGCAAGAACTGAACTGGTGACATTAACGCTTTCATTTAAAAAGTAAGCATATCTTTATGAGAGGAAGGCACCTATCTTATGTTTATTTCTAATGTAATGAGATAAGGCGTCGAATAACCTCAAGGACAGCAAACAATAAATAAAAATGATTTTTTGAACTCGCGCTACAGGAAGCCGCTCGATCTATCGGCGAGTTTCCGCTTTAGTGTACGCTGCGTCGCCATTTTCTTTTGTACCCTAAAATAAAAATATCGTTGAGACGTTAGTTTTTCGAAAATAGCAACAGTTTTTACGAAAAATAGGCCAGTGATGAATTGTAGTGCGTATACGAAGTGACTAATCGTAAAAATCGATCACGGCTGTTGAACGGAACGGAAAAATTGTCATCGACTGACGTGTACTAGTTTCGCCTATATTCGACGAACATCTTCAGGTGAGCAGAAATTTAGTGGCCAGATTTATGGGTGGAAGAGTGTATAAGAGTAGTGATGAGGTTTTTAACAACGTTATTCGTGGAGATAGCTCGAATATTTTACTAGTAAATAGAGAAACTCATTATTTAAAGAACCAGTGATGTACCATATTTGCCTATGAGAAATTTAGGTATGTTGAAAAGCGAATCCTGTGGGTTTGACGGATAAGTAATTTTACATGTATTAAGTACGTATACGGTTTTCTTGATGTCTGTTTGAAAGTATAATAGGTACGAATTAGGTCAGATATCGTCAATAATAAAATTATGTCATTTTTAATCAATAATATATATAGCAAGCTGATCGGGTGTTGTATTTGCGTTGTCGCTGATTCACGTTTTGAAAAAGCTACTACATTTTATCATTGATCACGATGGAAATAAATACGTGCTCGATTAGGACTTGGGGTATGCGGTTTTGGTAAAAACTAAGTTTAATAACATGTTGATTTTTTTAGTATCAAATTAAATACCAGATCTTATAACGAATGTAAAGTAGAAAGTGTTGCGGTTATGTGATAGGTTATGTAATGACTAATGACACATAAAAATTCGATTGCTGAAGTAGGCAGTGACCTTTAGTATTTTTTAAGTAACATGTTCGTCACATGGGCACAGCATAATTGACTTATACCTGTTTCAAAAGGTATCAAAACTTGTGCCTCAACGAATTTATACACCTTTTTGGTTTATATATTTTGTTAATAAGGAATAACGAGAGTTATTCCTTATTAACAAAATAAAACAATGATTTTCTTGTGTTTTAGATCTGAATGTTTAATGGTGCTATGGTGACGTGACAAATACGACCGTAGCTTCCGTCATAGCCAAATATGAAATCATATTTAAAAATGGATTGTGCTGCACCCATGTTAAGATGAATTTGAAATACTCATAGATATTCAATAAGTTTCACGTTTGCAGTTGGCCGTGCGTCAGTGGATGTATTCGATTTTAACAAATTCTCAAGTTAAAGAATAGCTATTTATGGTATAAGTGAATAAAAGTGAATTTTATCCAACGAAAAAACAGTTTAGCACATGAAGCGAAGCTGAGTGTGATAATGTTTTTGAGTGGATAAAATTCGTTTATTCACGTGTATCATACAACATTTTTTCCAATTTCGCAAAATTTTTTAAAAAATGTATTGTTTAGGTAATCCATATACATAAATATTAATTGTACTATTACTAATATGATGAACATTTGAAGAAGGTAAATTGCCTAAGCTGCCTGTACTTTCGTCACGGTCAAATTCAAACGATGCCCCTGGACTTTCATTAGGATTGTTTTACAGGAGGTGGACTATCAAGCGTTGCAAATTTTAGTTGAATATCCGCACATCCATAAATTTCAGTGGTAGTGCGAATTTTTAGTTTTTTTATTTTATTCGTGTTGTCAATGACAGTGTGAATAAAGTGTTGCTATAAACATTTTATTCATCCTTTCGATTAAACTATTGTTTTAATAGCGAGATTTAACATACAAAATGAGCATTTTATTAGTAGAAATTGGAAAAAACAATATACTTATATAATACCGAAATCGTTTTTCAAGTGAGTCTGAATTTAATTGCTATGGTAATAATCATTGTTTTGTGTAGTCCACAAGAAGCAATCATTTTGAACAAAAAAGTGTTGTTACTACTTATTAGATTTCAGTTTTAGCCTTTCCGTAGTGCACATAAGCTTCGGATATTGCTTTATCCCACAGTCCTGTGTACAGTGAAGGCGCAATACAAATAAACTACTACATTTAATACTAATCCTGGTGTACTTTTTCAAAATAACGCAATTTTATCAATACAATAATGGAGTTTGGAATTTTTAGAATTTACTAGAATAGTCTAGAAAATGTACTGGTGTAATTTATGTTTGTAAGATTGGTAGTTAGTAGAAATGTCGCTGTCAAGTAACAAATAAAATAAAAGTCAAAACAACGAAAAATGATAAATATTTTTGTATGCAGAACGAGATTTATTCCGCAATAAATTCTGGCTGCTATTTGAGCAATTTCCTATATTTCGAGGAGCGTAAAATTGTCTCATTCACGCGTTGTTAACAATAATTTGTCAATATTATATGCTACAATCTGGCATTTGTCATACCAACTACGACAAAATTCTCCAAAATTACAAAAATCCTATTTATATTTAAAATGAAAAAAAGATGCCAAGTAGAAAAAAAATAATTTTAAAAGACAATTTAACATTCCATTTGTGATTCGTGCTCTAAAATAATGTCTTTGAAACTTGTTTTTTAAAACACTATTTTCTGCTTCGCGTTTATAACCGAGTGCTCTAATAGGGTATTCCACTGACACTTTGTACCGCTAGAGGCGCCACGTCTGTAAGGGCAAAATCACCAAAAAGTGTCAACTATAGTGACTTTCATGTGGTAAAGTTGTCCCTCTATATGCGGCGGATGTATTAGTAGATATATTAACAGTAAATACTTATTCATATCAAACAAAATGTACAAAGACTGATTAACCAAGGCAGCTGACAAATACACAAAACACAATTTGACTGTTGCCAACCTTTGGTTACAAATTCGTGCCCCTTCGGTGGTGGCGACATCAACTTTAGGTTTGCGTGGAATACCCTATAGCTTAATTGAGTTTCGCAATAGAATTAGTGTAATTTATGTTTTCAAGGTGGTAGCCATTACAAATCCCACTGTCAATATGCAAATAAAATAAACGTCAAAGAAAAAACCGAAATTGTTGTTGGGCCATTTCTCATATTTACAAGGGCGTAGGATTGTCTTCAGCTTCACACATTGTTAGTAGTAATTTATTATTGTAAAAATTTAACCTATGAATGTGACAGTTGTCATACCAATCACGATAAAATACCCCAAAATTTAAAAAATCCAAATTTTTATTTAAATATAGAAAAAAGGTGCGAAATATAGAAAATGATACACCTAGACTTTTTGGCGCATTTATAGAAAACTAGTCTGAAGACACGTTTTTTAATTTTGGGATTCGTGCTTTAAAAAATATCTTATGAAACTTTTTTCATTAGGCTCATTTTTGACTTACAAGTTGCCAACTTCTTTTTTAAAAGCGTGGGCGACTGTAATGTTTTGTTTTATTGTTTGCTATCTTATACATTTAATAGGCATGCCAAGACCAAAAACTGGTCCATATTTTTGACGTTCCACTTAAAACTAGAGTTGAAAAATTGTCATGTAAATTTCAAGAAGATAAGAAACAACTTTCACACAAAAAATCTTACAGGGACATTTTGAATAGAAAAACACCGCCAACGAAAATACTTTTATTTAGAGTTGGCTGTGATCCACGGTGGCACTGTTGTTCGTGAGAGGAAATAATCTTAAGCTAAAAATTATTATCAGATGCAATTCAGACTTCATGGTATGTGTACTCTGCCCTATTTAAGGCTTAAGTACTTGGATATAACCCATTTTGGACAACATTTCTGTACTTAAACGGGTCTAAATTCTACAAAAGAGGAACAACGTTAATCTAGCATAACCTAATCTAGACCCAGCCTTTATCTGATCGTAACGGCTTATCTGTTATTTTTGGCTTAAAAGTGCTATTGTTCGTATGTCGTAACTAATACTACAATGTTCGCTACATCTAAAATTCGGTGAACAAACAATGTCTTATTATCATAATATACTCGAAGCTGTACATCATGAGTCATTTTAACTGCGTTTAATAGCACCATCTTTTATTAGCGGACTTTTTTGACACCATTTTTTTGCGAGTTATTTGTTGTTTTGTCATTGTGACAGAGATGTCAAAATGCGTTTACAAAAGTAATAAAAAATGTCTACCTGTTGCATATATTCGCGTATCTTTGATGTCAAATATTGCAGAGAACAAGTTTCTTTTACAGGAACCCATCGCAGACAAAAATGGACCTCAGTGTTGTTGAACAACTTTTACAAAGCACGGGTTTGTCCTGTGATGATTTGCTTCTTAAACTCCAAGCGTATCGATCGATTAAGACTAAACCTGATGAACCAGAAAATGCAACGTCTAACGAAGAAACTAAGGAAGATGTTTCAGTCAAAGACACTTCTGATGATTTAACGTCTGATTGTCTTTCACACGAAGAAACAAAGCAAGATGTTTCAAACAATGACAGTTCTGTGATATTAGAAACCAAAAGTTCCAAGGTAGATTGTAATACAGATAATTTAGAATCAGAAACCCAGAACAGTTTAGAATGTTCTGCCGTTTCATCTTCAGAAACCGTAAACCAAAATTTACCACAAAAATCTGAAGACGTACAGTGTTTACAGCCAGATATAGACGGTATTAATAAGTGTCGTCTAGACTGTGATTCTCTGGACGATTGTCAGAAAAACCAAGACGAACATGAGCAGACGTCCAGTGATGGAAGTGCAATTTTTGGGAGTACTTCTATTTGTGATGTTATCATGAAAAAGTTAACTGCTGAGGGACAAGAATCAAACACTCCCAAAACACAAAATAGAAAAGTGAGAGTTAAACAAATTACAAAGTACTGCAATGACTTAAGTAACCAATGTGTAATAGACGAATCAGTGAAAGAAGATTGTAATACATTAAACAAAAATAATCGTTCAGAATTATCACTTATAATACAACAACTACACAGAAAGAACAAACGTAAAATTGCACAGCTTTGCGAATCTGAAGAAAGTTCTTGTGAGGCATCACCAAAACAAACGTACGTAGCACAAAAAGACGAGAATTTATCTTCTGATGTTCAAGAACAAAACAGGTGTGAAACAGAAAATGAAACAAGAAAGTCTCTTTCTCTCCAAGAAGAAAGCTCGAGTGACACAACTGAAAAGATATTTCCTGGACTGATTTTTCGAGAAGTACCAGAAAAAGGAGACTCCAAATTTTTGAACAATTATGGGACAGAGAGTGAAAATAATAATGGAAAAGTGAAATCTTTTAAATACTCCGAAAAAAATCTTAGCCACACATTACCTCAAAATCGAAAGACACAGACAGCAAGTTGTCGATATACCTCAAAGAAAGAAATAACTGAAGATGGTTATAACTCATTGAGTAGAAGTGCCCAGTCAGAGTTATTTTCTGAAACAAAGGTACCAGACAATTATGAAATACAAAGGAATAAAACTAGAAAGACCGTCATTGACATTGAAAAAACTTTTAACAAAACTTTACTAGAAAACATTGATAATTCCCTGAGCGGTGAACCCACTTTGGAAAAACAAAAAACTGGTGAAGAATCTACCATACTTTGCGAAGATAAGTCTCCGAAATTCTTTTTTAAAGTACAAAAACAGGGTAGCTGTGCAACACAAAATGAAAATAGTAATCAAATCAAATCAACGGAAGAACAATCGAATATTTTGAACGATTGCAATAAATTAGTAGAAAGTTCTTCTAAAGATGATTTTGAACTTAACCGTGAAACCAACCGTGTTACTGACGATAGTTTATCTGATAACGTTTGTTCCGTTAGAAAAATAAATGATCATGACTATACCAATCCTGTAATCAATACGGATTCTCTCCTGGAGGCTGAAGAAGCAAGTTTATCATCTGATCCTGACACCGAACGAGAAACATCGTCACTGAAAAGTGATGATCTTCCGAAATCTGAAGATAATTTAAGAGACGTCCTTAGAATGCAACTTTCGTCTTTACGAAATATGAAGAAGAACAGTGGTTTATTACCCACATTTAAGAAAACTATATTTTTTCAGAATCTCAAAAAGAAACGAAAATCATGTGATATCAATCCCGGGATATCTGCTGATGTGGATGATGAGAAAGAAAGTAATGACGAAGAGGTGAAAGAAAAGAAGCTTGAGGAAAATAAAGAGAATTTCAGCACGAATGAAAATTCGTTGGTGTCGTTATCAGATGATACTGACTTCGTAATTGTAGATGTTACCGGAGGTGTAGATAGACTAACACCAAATATAGAATCTGCAAACAACGAAGAAAGTATGTTCTCTGGTATAACCAACATCGACAACGAAGACAAAGAACATGAAAACGTTCCAAATACTTCAGAGCCCGTTTTAGAAAACAAAACAATTCCCAAGATAGACGAAACATCCAGTAGTTCGGATAATAACATTGTTAACTCTGCATTTACAAAAATAAATGAGAACTCGCCTCAATTAACGGTCAGAAAAAATATTGCTGAAAAGTTTACGCGAGATCCTGGCATTAACAAATCGGTGAAAAATAACGAAAAATCTCCATTTGTTAGTGATTCTTTAGAGGACTTTCTTAATGAAAGTGCCGAATTAAAAATAAGTTATGCTATTCCAAAGTTGGGAGCAGAAGAAGGAATTACTGAAAATACTAAAAAGTGCCCTTTTGATAATGTTGTTAGTAATAATCAAACACCCAAAGTTGAACACGATAACACCCAGAGAGAGAAACCAAAATTGATCAAAGCCAAAACTTTGGCTGAGATGCGACGACATTTTGAAAAGTTAAAAGCAATAGAAGATAAATCAGTAGAGGATAAACCAGCAGAGGAGGCTCCCGTTCAGTTGAAAAAGAAAAGAGGTTTTAAACGAAAATTTTTAAATACTTTTCAAAAAAGCGAAACAAAAAGTCAAGATCAATCTCCAGTAGAAGAAAACAGTATCCTTAATATTGCAGATATTAGAACTGACCAAGATGTTCCACCTAGAAACAGTTATATATTATATAACAACAAAAAATTGTGGGTGCCGTGTAAAGGAAAAGATAAGTGTCTTGGAAATGTTAATTCTAAAACGAACAGAGAAATTTCGTATGAAAAGACTTCCGTACCACCTAGTCCCAAACCAGAGCAGATATCCATCAGGAAACCATCTCTTCTTTCTTCTCTAGCACAGAACAAGTGTTCTAGAGTCAAATATAAACCTGGACCCCTGTGTAAGAAAGCTGCTTTGCAAAACCCAGAAAGTAAAGCTCATTGGATGACTGAGTTAAAAACTTTGCCAAAAATTTATTTAGAAGTTGTACCTGAAGTGCAAAAACCAATTGATCCTTCGATAGTTCATCTCTTACCAATTTTTGAGGAACCAGTAATAACGGAAGAACGGGCAAATTTTGCATTAACTGCACTGAAACCGAAAAATACGAATCATACACCAGAAGCTTTTAATTTCCACGTTCCATTTAATAATAAACAAGAAAAAATTATTGTACGAAAACCTTTCAAATCAGAGGTTGTCCAAAAAACAAGTTCTGAAGAAAAAGAAGTCGATCCTGAAGATGAAATTTCAAAAGTAATTAGTGATTTAATTACTTACGTTGAAATAAAGGAACTAGGGGATAGTATGATTAAAGAAGATGAGTGTACAACAGACATTGAAACATGTAACGAAAGTACTTCGAAGACTAAAACACGTAAAATCAAACGCAAAAAGTTAGAGCTTGAGCTCCTTCGACTTAACTGTAAAGTGATCGATGTGGCTACTGATAAAGACGACACTGACTGTAATAAACCATTTTGTAGGTTGGGGTGCATTTGCAAAAGTCTGCTGTGCGAAAGTGTGTTTTCTAATCACTGTCAGTTAGTTGAGTGTATGTTTGGATGTACGTGCCCTTCAGATACACCCGGCAGCTTGACTGCAACGAATGACTTTTTGTCCGCACATACCGTTAACCACCTTGAAGATAAAGCAAAGAAAAATTTAGCCAGAGTAGAAAAGGAATTTACTCATACTCTCATACATACAGATAATGATGCGATTTTAGTAGGTACTGCTAAAGTGAGAAGATCGTGCAAGCCACCCAAAAAGTACACCGACTTTGTCGGGGATGATGTTTTCGACTCGCCACGACCAACATCAGTTGAAAAAGAACCCACGAATTGCAAGAAGTTCGACCTTGTTTTGGAAAAATTGATGCTTGACGATGTAATACCATTCTGTCTTTACCACAACGTACATAGTTGTTTATGTAAAGGGGAAACCGAAATTGTTCCATCAACGAAAATACGAGAAGTGGACGAGATTCCAAAAATTCGAATTGTTAAGACGAAAGAAGATCAGCATAAAGCGTGGTATGAGAGTTGTGCCAGGATACGTACAGTGTTTCCAGAATATAAAGAACGGAATAAGACCGCATTATACAAACACAAGTTGCGAAGGGGACATTTAAGTTTCAAAGGGCGAAGAGGTCCTCGAAAGAAGCAAGAAAAGAAAGAAGTACCCGTTAAAGATCAAGTAGTACATTTGCCTGAAAGCATAGAAGTTCAATCTGACATTAATAAATCGAGCCCAAAAATAATTAAAAAACCCAGCAAAAGAAAACAATCTTTTGATGTCCGGGAAGATGTTGTTCTTCCAGGTGCGGATATTGTACTTCCAACTGTGGAATCTGTACCCCCAAAAGCAGATCCTGTAACTCCGCAAGCCCCAGCTGACAAAAATGAGAAAGAATTTGCTTTGCAAAGAAGAAAGAAAAAAGTCAAGGCGAACGTCCCGCCGGTGGAGACTCCGATATACCATCCAATATTTGATGGAGAAATTAAGGTTTCTCTTAAAGAAAATAAAGACATGTTAAATATTATAGGAAATGAAAATGCTTGTTTGGAATATCTAAGAATATTACCTTGGGGAAAATTAATCGATAGCTTTTGGTCAGGGAAAATTTGCATTTGGGCGAAAGATAAACCATCCTCGCCGCTATTATGTAATTCAGCGGGGTACTTCCCTCCGAAGAATTTTATTAGTATTACAAAGGTGACTCGTAGAAGCGAGATAATTAACTGGATTATAACTGGTAGCTTACCTAGCGATAGACCAAGGGATCTCATGCATCTTATTTTGACGCCAAAAAACATGCATTTCCTAATAGCAGGGTATTGTTTAAAGAAAATCAGCCAAGATTCAACACCTTCAGAAACTCAGAGTGACTTTTTAAATAAATGGTCTACTTCGGCAGCAGAAATATCTTCTAGTTCGTCTTTTATGGATGTTGACGACGTTGATGTGGAGAGTCCTGAAGACCGTATTACCTTCAGCGAAAGCGGATACAGAGATACAATTCATTCTAATCCCAATCAACAGTCGCTTTTGCGTGATAATAGACAAGAGAAAGATGCATCTAGAGTATCTTCTCCAGAAGTACAAATTTCGGTCATGTCTCAACCGCTCTCACCAGTTACCAAAAGATTTAAAATTGTAAAACCTAAAATAATGAAACTACCAGAAAAAAGAAGTCCAACTGACAGTACGCCTGTGGAACTGAGTTCAAGAAAAAACCTAACCATAACCAAACCAACCTCACAGACACCACGGAAAGGTATTGGAAGCCGCGACCGTACTACTAAAATAACCACAAAACGAACTTATGTAAAAGTGGGTTCTGTGTTTAATAGTCTCCAGTCGGTGGCTAACACCAATGATTTGAGTAATGTGAGTACTCCAACCATAAAACAAATTCTGAATACACCACCGTGTACTGTAAATACTAGTGCAGTAAATGTACTTGATGATTCAAGAGTTGATTCTGCGCTTTCAACAAGGTCTGACGATAATGAGAATCTATCAGTCGCATTGAATAACTTATTAGAAAAGAGTATGATGTTAGAAAACAACTCTGGTGAAAAAGAATGTGGTAGTCCTCCTCGAAGGAACTCTCAGTCTATGTCAGTTGAAAAAGAGCTTGCAACCGCAGGCTGTAATTCTAAAAAGGAACGTGTACCAAAGACTGTGTCTGATAAAGAAGTAGTACCACAGGATCTACTGAAATTAACTGAAGTAGATGAACCGCCGAGAAAATCTACGGGAAAACAAAAACAGTTATCCGTTAGAAGCAACGAAAGTAGTCCTAAAAAGATTACGAAAGATCCCCTTGCAATAACTGAAACTGGTAGATTAGCCTCACGACCACAAAAAAGTGTAACATCGTCACCTGAATCGAAAGGAGATACACAGTTTACCAAACGTACTAGAACATCATCAGATAGTTCCAGTGTGAGCAAGAATCGTATCACTTCTCAATCTGGTGTAATCCCTAGTCGAAGTTTAAAATGCACTCACAAAGATATGAATAATCAAAGTAAAACATTAGTTCTGACAAATAAAGTCTTTAATCACCGTAAACTCTACTTCACTAAGGACGATGTTAAAGGAACAGAAATCAATATTGCTTTGCCATCAGTTTCGAAAAATTGTAAATGGAGGATGATTTATCTAAATTCAGATTTTAGCTTCCTGACGTTTGTGACTGTGAATTACTCAATTAAATACACAGATTTGTTGGATGTGGTGAAAATGTCTAGCAACATTAAGTCCACCATCACTCTCAGAAATAAAGAGTTCAGTGATACCTTCAAACATCCATTGTTTGGTATTTACTGCGTACCTGATTATCAGGACCGGCTTTTTATTGGTCCGTACGCATCTTCCGAGAAACACAGCGTTGAAACTCTCAGATATTTGCAAGGGAGACTAATAGATACACAAATTTTTAATAAAATGGTTGGGAGAAACGTGTCGGAGAAAAATCCGGTGTGGTTATATGAAAGTCCTCCACGTCCTATAAGTTTACCAAATGGTCTTGTTATTGATATCACGGAAGATGATGAAGCTCATGAGGTTACTGTAGTCGACTTAGACAGTGATAGTTCTGAAGAAGCTCAAGATACTACTAGTAAATCTCAAGTTAGTACTAGTAAAGTTCTGGAAAATAGTTTACTTTTCCCGCCCTTTGTGGAAGAACTAACGCAAGACGAATTAAAATCGAGGCATAGCATAAATCGATATATAATGACAAACATTCCTCATTTGGGTTATTTTGATGCTCGCCAACGCGACAGTAAAGCAATTGAAGTGTTTTGGCCTGACGGTAGCAGAGGCTATAGATTTCCTAATGTTACGTTTGCCAAAAATTTATTAACACGGTAAGTACGTCATGTCCTAATTGTTCTTAATTATGCAGAAAATTTTAATTGCAGGTATCTATATCAAATTTTTTGTCCTATTCCCCGAGATTTTAAAATCAACGTTATAATAATGACGAATTTGGGAGTCCAAATCAACAAACCCATCAATTCGAAATATTTATCAAGATCAGATCCTTACGTGAGTTGCACTTATTTTTAATTATTTTTAGCTGATTATATTTCTGCAGATTTGTGGCGAATTTGGCGTTTATGAAAAAGACGCCATACCAGATGATTTGTTAAAAAAACATAACGTGTCATCGATTGAGTCACTGTTACAGTGGCACGAAGAAGTTCAAAACGACGAAGACGCGATGATACGAATATTCGGTTTGTTTTTAATGTCTAATGAAGAATTACGCAAACATTCAGAACCCTACAAAATATTGCAATGGGTATATTTTGAATTTTCTTTATAGTTTGTCGTGTGATGGTTTAAATTTCAGGCAATTTCTGAAACTTACATATTGAAGAAACTTGCCGAAAATTACGAGTCTGAAAAAGTAGACCTCCAAAACATGATCCGTGCAAAAACACAAAAAATTAAAGAAAAACGTAAAGACATTAGGACCGACGAGACACCTGACAGCACACGCATGAATGTATCGGAAACAATAGAGATCCAAGATTCCGACGAAGAAGATAACCAGAAAACTAATACAGAAGCTCAAACTCCAAGTTTCAAAAGGATCTCTATAAGTGGAAGGGTAACAGGTTTGTTAAAATAGAGGTTATCATAGTCATTATTATTTTCGCAGATCGATACTGACTCTGTCTACGACCAAAGCCAAAGCAGATCGATACTAAAATCCAATGTATGGATAAAACCAGGACGATCATTACTGAAAAGTAACGATAAAAAGACACAAAAAGTTGCGTCTCCCGAAAAACTGACGTCCATAGAACCTGTAAAAATATCATTGAATAATTCTAATATTGTTTTAAATAAAAACAATCTTTTGATAACCAAATTAAAATAACCAGAAATTATGTTTTGCCATCAACGTTAAAGTTATTGGAATTTCAGTACTTCGTGAGACTGTAATGTTAAGTTAGTATTTTTATTATTGAATTGGAACAATATTGTACAAATTAATTTATAATGTTTGTAGTGGTTTACGTTACTAAATTTTATGACTCTGTTTTTTATTAAATAAACCATAATCTGGATTTGCTCTATTGACGCGCAATATATCCCGCATCTCTGTGATTAATTATTACTTATAATATGAATGTTTGTTATTTTTTAAGCAAATAAAATTATTTAGTAAGTAGTAATTTCTTGATAACCCTTCATTTGATAACAATTAAAAACAAATTGGAAGAAATGATAAAGCATCTGGGGTAATTCATGTATAACTGAAGGGGTGGTGCGTAATATTTTGGGGTTGTTTGTGCTTTTATTTCACGTGTGGATAAATTTTCACAGGTATTTTTAGCGTAATAAACCATAGTTAATTTTCAGTCTTTGGATACGTAGTCGAAAATAGGTCAACAGCTTAAGAGATTTGGATATAGTCAACTTATTTTTACTTCCAGAACGTAAACTAAGGAAATATTGCGGTAGGGTCCATCCAGCGAATAATTACTTTAATGATTTTTTACGTTTCATGACTCCGACACCCTTCCGATAAGACTTGCTTCAGCAACGCCGGAAAAATTAAGAACGGCGCTCGAGAAAAGTCGAAGTGGACCATTTTTACTTCCTAAGCGTAAGCAACGGAAGTATTGCAATCGAGTCCGTCGGCCGACTCTCTACTTTTACGTTTTGTCGACCTTTCATGACCCCTAGAGTACGAAGAAATAGGTCTCCCGTTTCCGTTTGTCTACCATCTAACCAAAATTTGTCTAATCATCCCATTATTGGTGATTTATCACTGCATTAATATCTCTTAGATTTGTTTGTATAGGGAAACGTCAGATTGCTAAATGTTTACGGCGCCGTCAACGTCGTTGTTTATAAATAAAGCTGGGCAGTCGAAATTTATTCATCCTCGCTACCCGTCTGAAGTACGGCCGGTGCAATCTTGCCTTACTCTCTTCTCGCTTTCCAATTGTGCATCATTTTTGATAACTTACAGAAATAGTTTTATGTCGTGGATATTTTAAAGTCATCAACTGACGTTCAGTTAACCTTAGTTTGTTCATAATTTTCTTCCCGATGCGTACCATACTCGTCTGCCGTAGTCCATACGCAGCGCATAAACTTCAAACGCTTAGCCCTATTTAGAAATAACTCACAGTTAATCTTTTCGGTTTAAAAGTTCAAATAATATTGTACACCACACGTTCGTGAAGCCTGCTTCTCGTTTAGATTTGCTTAAACAGGTGGCTCAAAAAAATTAATGAATGAGACAATTTATTTTATTCATTAAATCAGGAACGGCTCACTCGATTTTCCCAGAAAATTTTGGGTATACAACATAATTATTTATGGTATTACACTGCACCAATCCAAGTATTATACGTGTCCTTGCAAAAATGTTGATGACCTCGTCACAAAATTGTGTAAAGAAAAAATTTAACTCGAATATGTTTCATCGTACGTCAGGAGCAAGGGAAGTTCTATCGAAACAACTTTCGACCTATTTTTTACAAATGTTTCTTAATTTAAAACTACGTGTATGTGTATATAAAATTTGGACTTGGGCACCGGCGTCTTAGGAAAATCCCCGATTTCCGACTCTGACCTCATTTCTTTTCTTCTCCTTTTGACGTTTTGAAATCACTGTAGTGATCTGTGACAAAATAAACATCATTATTATTGCTAAAAATAAAAATTCCATGTTAGTTCTTGTTAGAAATCGACGAACCTTAACTCCGGTGCAGGTCGGGCGTTTACTAATTCGGCAACATTTATTAGGCATTAACTCTTATCGAATTCTAGTTATACCTATTTAGTGAGGAAACACATTCAACTCATTCTGGATTAGGGTTTTATTGTACTGTAAATTTTTTGCGATTTCTGCAAAGATCTACGATTGTCTATTTGCAGGATTTTAAACTTGCAAAATTTAAAAGGAGCGGCAAAAATTTATGCAAATTTTACAGTCGATACTCTTATCAGTTTGAACCGGAGCTAAGGTAAGGGACTGAGGCACTCCGAGTACAACCACTATAACGGTATATGACCTTGTACCCGTGGTACGGTTTCTTAAAGTGATTATGCAGGATTAAATTTTTCTATAAGAGGATTCACTTATTTCTCGGTAAATTCGTTTCTTATTACCTGCATTAGGACCCGTTCAGGGCCGTATTATGTTACCCAGTCTATGCAACAAATACAGTAGCGGTCATTTCTACGGAACCACTCGATAAAAAGTCAAGTTGGTAGCCCTGTCATCTAGTACTTTACGCCGAACGCAGTTGGTAGCGATAGTTGACATGGCAATCGAAACTAGTACAACACGAATGTTTCGGTTGCCCTCAGCTATGCCGCACTGTATCCCGTGCAGACTGTATGTTCTGCTCATCTATTTATTAAAATAAAATATCTACATTGACAATGGGGCCATCTAACCTGTCAAATTTTTGACACATATGTTTTCCCCCAGAAACCCGTCAAGGTCACTTACACCAAACAAATTTTGAAAATTTACACTAGGGAGTGGTTCTATAGAAAAGATCGCGACTTTAGTTTTTTTTCACTAGCAGCCAGGACGCATGCAAATGTCGACTCATATGGTGGTAGCAAATTCAACTTTTGCTACCACGGGTTCAAAAAGAAAAATTGAGGTTATGTACTCAATGTTTGATGTGATTATTTCTTAAAAAATGAACAAATGTGTGCTACTAACATTACTTGAGCATACGTATGGTAGTTGGTAGACGGTAGAAGATAAAATGATTAATTCAGCGACAAGTATAAACGGTTTTCTTTGTGTTGAAGATTTAGATTAGTTAAGTTTGATTAGAAATCAAAACAAAATCATGTTGCGTCAAAAAATTGAACGTTTATTTTTTCAATTTATTGTCTTATAGTTTCTACTAGTGAAAAAAATAGTATATTAACCACGGTTGCAAAGCCACTTCTAGACCTCGCGCTTCAGAGCCCTCGACGCTGCGCGTCTCGGGTTCTAATTTGCGCTCGGTCTAGAATGCTTCGCCTTGCAACCTTGGCTAATAATATACTATTTCGTGTACTCAATAGAAAAGTGCACATTTGTTTTAATGAAAATAATAAAGAAAAGTGCCACTTTTCCAGTTAGCATTAAAGCATGTGTACCACTTTTCATACTTGCCTTACGGTTCGCAGGTATTAAATTCGCAGTTGTTTTTGCAGGTTATCCAAAAACTGTTTGCACTTTTTTTTGCGTTTTTACTTGGTTGTCATGAACAGACTTATTCCGGAGGCTTCCACGGTCGGAATCAATACGTGCTTTTTTGCCTTATTCTTGACCCTGTCCTGAAGATGCCACTCACGAAAGTGTGCGAAACGTTGAACCCAAAAACTCAATTAACACGGTTCCAACCCGGAAAATGATCATGTAACAGACTTGTATGGTAATTGAGCACATTTTATGCAACATAATTATCATGAATCGAAATCAATTTTTTTAAATTTTCGAAAACTGAATACACGGAAAAATAGCATCTTCAACACGTAAGAAAAGTGTGTTTTCGAAGCTCGTATAAAACCTTTTACACTCACTGGAAAACAATCTTTTTTCATTACTTACTACAATCTACTACTGTGACGGCCAAAGTTCAAAAAGTAGCCATAATTGAAAAAATGGCATTAAATAACATTTTATACCAAATATTTAAAGAAAGAAATTTTTTTCTTATCTGAAAATAAAAAAAATGACAATATTTCAGCATTTTCGACATATATCATTAGTTTTCTAATTATTACTGAAGTTTCATGCTGATAAATTTAGAAATACACATGATTATTTATTGTAATATAAGTAAATGATATCAGCCATTTGTTTCTGGTATTCGAAACAACCATTGGTAATAAATAAATTATGGAATTAAAACATAGAACCATAAAGTTTGGAACGCATATCATATATAAAATGTGAAGAAATTTATAAGGCAAATTTTAGTGCATATCTGCCCGTGTCTATCATGTTCAAAAGCCAAAATCAAAGTTCTACGAAAGATTTTTAAAAAATAAGAATTATAATATTCAGAGCATTTTGTTCCGCTGTGACGTAATTAATAATTTTAGTTCTGTGTTTTGAGGAGACAAACTCATTCAAATCAAAATAATTAATACGTGACATTTTTTCAATGCGTAGACATAAACACTTGAGTTAAGTTTGTGATTAGTGCTGAGAGGATATTTTATCCCATTGGTTATCTTTTATAATGTTTTAAAGAAGCTGGATTTGTCGGATTATACTTCAAGAGCGAGGAAAGAGTACGTATTTTCTTAAAAAATGCATGAACATGTCCGCTTAAAATAGTCTAGAAATTAGTCGAATTTATAATTTTTTTTATTAAAAAGTGCACACTAGACATGTATATAAATATGGTGGTCCCCTGGATTCAAGTTTGTTAATTCGAAATACAATTTTTTTAAAGCAGTGTATATCTTGTATTTTTAAAATGCGACTCCTGAAACCACGATAATGTTCCCCATGATAGGACGAAACCTGTTCACTCATAATCATAAGCCTTCAGTGGTATCATCAGTGTTGGGGACAGATACTTTTAAAAGTATCTAGATATAGATTGTTTTCGAAATGTATCTAGATACAGATACAAGAAAACAGATACTTTTTGAAGCTTTGGCGAATAAAATAACTGAAAACAGGTTTATGTATTTTTTTATGTATTGTTTAATGAATTTTTTAAAATTAACAACATTTCGAACGTATTGTCACCTAAATTATTTCTTCTTGATGTCAGAATTTGGTTTCCGCTACTAAACACCCGTTCCACAGGTGCAGAAGAAGGGATTGTGGTATTAAGTTTAAAAAATAAACATTTTACTGTAGCATAGTTATTCAAGACTGAAAAATCTATTCTGTTTTCCTGCAAATAGGCCATCGCTTCGCTGTTTGATGTGTCGCAAATTGTGCAATATTTGTTACGTACGCTTAAAAACAATATTTTTTTTTGTTTTTATTCCCATACTACAGTGTCCAAATTGTGTTTAATTATCTCCAGCATTAAAATTAATATAATAAGAATACGGGAAATGATTATTATGTGCTGAAGATCTGTTGTCGACAACCTGTCATAAATTATTATTTTTCAATATTGGCTTACGATGTTTGTATGACCATGTCCGGTAATCGTCTGTCCCGGTGCGGCAGGTATATACATTTTTAGGAAGAATTGCTGGTTCCGTTTAAGGCAAAATAAGTACAATTTCTTAGAAAGGTATTTAAACCCATTATAGGATTAAAGGCTGCCTGGCAGGCCGGAATCACCAGAGTGCAACTTTAAATTTTCAGATTTTTGTTGAAACTCATTTTATTTTAATCTCGTTTCACGATTTCTGAGAATATATCACAATAAATTATTCTACCGAGGGTTGTAAAAATATCAATTTTATTGTCCAAGATTTACACTTAAACATAATCGGCACATTCTAGGGCAAAACGGACCTGCCAAGCCCGCCTCGCGTTAGGTCCAACAATGAAAAAGTGAAGAAATGACACATGTGGCAACAGGAAAAGATGCTACATTTGTCTGAAAAATAAAGGTATAAAACAGTAACAAATATGCGATTTATGCGAGAGAAATGTGTGTACTGAACATTCGATTAGTCGATTACAGAACTAATTTGTGCTAATTGAAAAAATTAATCATTATGTAACACGCAATTATTATTTTCTGAAAACAATAACATACTTTAAACAAATATTTTTACTATTAAAATTACTCTTATTTAATAACACAAATACAACCAGCGGGCCTACCGGACCCGGGTTCCTCAGGTACACAGATAAAATGCATTGTCCCGATAAGTGTAAAACGCAGTGAATAGTGAATTGTGGTTTATGATTTTTAAAATACCATCTTACCATGGCTTAGATTTATTACCCCTCAGGGTTATATTTAAAGATGTATAAGTACTGAAGGCTACAATGTAGGAAATGATGGTATTTAAAATATGAAAATTTCCGTGACAGAACACTATTAGTGAACCTCTTACCTCTTTTCAGGTAGGTAAGGTAGTAAGTGGGTTTAAGACATCCGGCTGTGACGGCCCACTGAATTATAATTGGTGTGAAGCCATGGACGCACTAAATGTTTGCGTCTAGTATACTCCTGTTATTGTTGCTGCTGTGTAAAAATTAAAGGAAACACAGAAATTCGGCATTTCTCTGTCGAGTCTCTCTGACAAGGCCGGCTCAACACGGTAAGCGAAAGATGCACCCCATCAGGCCGCCTATGGGGAGTATTTCACCAAAACAGCGCATAACTTGACACTTTATGACTCCAATAATAATTAACAATGTGTGCGCCTAGTGATTGGACCTTTAAATCAATACCGACAAGAGATTGAATTTATGATTGCATTTCTGGGTAACAATTCGACGAGACAGCGGTGTGACCCAAACCAGATTTTTTTCCTAACATTTATTACGTTCGTTTTTAAATACCATAAAACTCCATGTCGGTACATACCTAAAAAAATTTTTCCCCGTCTAGTTGACTGGTTGTGGTGGTTGTTCAACAGTTTTGTTATATTTTTCACTGTTCTTGTTCATAGCCGAATTTGGTTCTGTGTATTATTCCGTGGCGCTTTATCATTATTAATTTTAAATTTAAATTGTGATTAAAACATTGAGGTAAGTCTAAATTAAAAATAATTTTGAAATCGTAGCTATTTTAAAATATGAAAAATTTTAAAAAAATTGTAATATATTTATTTTTCCTTATATGTGGATACCAGAAGAATTTAATCAATGACACACAACTCATTCAGGGTGTTTTTTGCAGAGCTTTTTTGCTCATTCAGTACGTGGTATATGCTGGTGTTGAGACCTTTACGGTATAACACAACTTGCATCATGAATAAAAAAGTACTAAATGGTACCCAGAAGAGAAAATTTAAAATATAAAAAAAAAATAAGAACTTGAAGACGTTTAATTGGTTCTAATGACAACAGTGATAAAATATTGTACAATACAATTTGCAAAGAATTTGAAAAAATAGACGTATTACGATTAAATATAATTGCTTGTTCATGTGATGGGGCAAGTAATATACAATGGTTTACAAGCTTTATTTAAAAATGCAAATCCATTTTTAGTGTATACTCACTGCATGGCGCATGTATTAAATTTAGTTATTTGCAATGACACTGTTGGCAAAAGTTGGTAGCCAACAACCTTTTTGGACTACTGCAAGAATGTGCAGTGTTTGTATCTAAATCATATAAAAGAATGACTATTTGGGAGGAAAATGCTAAAAAAAAAAACACTTACAGCTCATGAAAAATTATTATATATATTATATTATACAAGTAAAAAATGTGTTGCAGAGCATTAATACAAAATTTCAAGTAAAAATCGCCATAAAAATATTTTTCGTCATACAAACTTTGTCACCCCCTTTCATCTTCTTAGGGGTGGAATCTTGAAAAAATCTGAAATACGTCTTTCATTATTTGTGTTGAAGAGTATTAATACCAAGATCCACGTAAAAATGTAAATTTACAAGAAATATTTTTCGCATACAAACTTGGCCACCACTTTTCACCCCCTTAGGGGTTGAATCTCGGAAAATGTTTAAGTATTTAATGTTAAATACGTGTTGCATTATTTGTGTTGAAGAGCATTAATACCAAGTTCCACGTAAAAATTTAAATAGACAATAGAAATATTTTCCCATACAAACTTAGCCTTCACATTTCACCCCCTTAGGGGTTGAATGTTAGAAAATGCTTAAAGAGTAAATGACAAAATGAGTAATTGCTAGAAGGATGCTACCTGAAGAGTTAAATAAGGGAGAATTAAGATAATTTTCAGCCGGGTGGTGCCTATTTAACAGGGCCTAAATTAATGTGCACTTCTACACATTTTGTGCAGTTCAAAAATACATTTGTGCAGCTGGAAATTGCAATTTGTGCAGTAACTTTTTCACATTATTAATATTTTTACTTCTCGAGCGTAAGCTACTACTACTGACGCCGGTTCATCCCTTCACAAAAATTTATTGATCAAATTAAGAACGTGTCACCCCATTTCCTCAAAAACATGAGAATACGCAAGTCTTTAATAATGACAAAATAAGAATTATAATAACAAAATTCAGAACATTTTGTTCGATTGTGGCTTAATTAATTATTTTAGTCCTCTGTTTTGGGAAGACAACACACAAACTTTTGTGGTGTACCTTTAAATAGTGACATATGTATTACTTAATAGTGTCTGTATTGTGAGTATTTTAGATTTTTGTTTATATCTTTACAATATATTTATTGTGATTGCATTTTGCTATTATTTGGTGCAGGTATTCTCACAAATCAACAAAATCATAGTGCACTTTAATGTTGGGGGGGGGGGGGGGGGTAGTAGTAGTACTGAGGACAGAAGGGGGAAGGGGGATTAGAGGCGATTGTGCAGTTGGAAATTTTCCTTAATTTAGGCACTGCTATTTAATACATATACCAATAAACGTAATGTCTCCAGTTCGGATTAGGATGTCTTAATTACTGGTTTTCTACATGAAGATTCTCCCGAAATGTCTTGATATTTGGTGAATAAAAGTACAACTTGAATATTATGCATGAATATGCACTTATCGGTAAATATGCAGTAATATTGAAATATTTTTTTAAGAAGTTATATGTCCAGGAAACACCTTTTTTTTTAATATGCCGCATTTTAAAGAATATGCATTTTTGCATACAATCCGAGCCTTACTGATAAATAACAATTGTGCCAAAGGCAAACCAAGGTCATGCATATTTTTTTGTAAAATAGTACCATCAGGTAGTCCCGTCCGGCACCTTCATTGCAGTCTAGCTTAGCCAACTAAACAGAAACCATGCTCTCAGTGATAACAACAGCGAATCCTTTATGATCATAACTTGGCAAGCCACAAAGAAGCAACTATCTTAATTTCATTATAATTTTCAAAGATTTTTTTATTGTGTGGGTGAATCTAACAATATATTATATTATCTTGGGCCATCAAATTGCATTTAAAGTATATAAATACATATATACCTAAATTTACTTAAATGTTTGCCTAATTTTAAGTCTAGTCATATGTTGAAAATTAAGTGAATTTTTTTTAATTTGATATTAAATTTATGACAAATTTATGTGCGTACCCACGTGGTACTTCTTCGACATTTTTTATTAATTAAAATAACAAAAGCCTTAAACGAACCATCGGCGTTCCATATGACGCGCACATAAAGAAAAAACCATTTCGATAAACCTGGTAGCGAACGAGATTATGATGAAATGTAGCAGATGTTTACACAGGTAGAAGGACTGGAAATTCGAAGTACAGGTCTTCCTGCCCACCACCCCAGGTGTCGCATGCCCTAAACGCGCATGCGCTTTGCCCACACGTGGACCACATCCACAACACAAAAATTAATGCAACCAGTTGCGAAAGAACTGCCGAAGGAGGAGTAGGTGCTTGTTAGTTTCACCGCGTCGAAAGCACGTGAATGAGCTTCTTGTGCGTCGGAACTGTTTACACTAATATGGATCTTGCCTGTACCGAAAAATCCACCGCTGCTACGTATGCCCCCAAAGACCCGAACATCTTCAACGATTTTCGAGTCATGAAACACTTGCTGAACGACGAAATCTTGTATACTCCACACACGAATTACTTTCAGAATGTGCAGAGCGATGTGGAGCCCTTCATGAGGAAAGTTGTGGCTACTTGGATGTTGGAGGTAATGTTTATTTTGGTTTATGGGGGTGTCAGCTCAGAATTGACCATTTTAGGTCTGTGAGGAGCAAATGTGTGAAGATCAGATTCTACCTTTGGCTGTTAACCTGATGGATCGTTTCCTCTGCGTATGCGATATTAAGAGACAACAGTTGCAGCTCCTGGGGGCCACCTGCTTGCTTATCGCCTCGAAAGTTAGAAGTACGAATATTTTACCGATTGATTTGCTTTGTGCCTACACGGACTACAGTGTCACTTTCGAAATGATGGTGGTAAGTTTTTTGATATTTGTTAAAATTATTTTTTTCGAGTTTTGGACTTTTTTTTTTGACTTGTTGACAATCGAGAATTTTTTTTACAAATGTGTTTTATAATTTTGGAATGTTCGTGTCAGCCGCCAATTCGGTGAATTCACGGCTTGTCTGGTTCTCGGAAACGCGCATAAAACAGAATAAATTGTGTTTGAGATGTGACATGCGAGTGACTACGGTGCCCACATAAAAATATTACTTAATTAAATGAATATTTAATTATTTAAGGAATGGAACTACGAACTTGTCAAAAAAAGAGACTTTGTTAAACTTTGACACAATTATGTATACAATTAAGTGTAATGTTGAACTATTAGAACGTCAGCTTAAGAAAATAAACGAACTGTAGGTCAGTGTATTGTACATACGTATTTTATGATAATGATTCAGAGACTATAGAATTAAATTAACTATTTTTGAGTGATAGTTGCTTGATTTAAATTTCATTCCTTGTATCCTGGTTCATATTGTATTATACAGTAGACAACAAAATTTGTATGAAGGGAATTCCCGCAAAGCTTGTCATGCCGTTACTACAGGTTAGCATGCCCTTGCTTGGTTTTCAAAGCACCACCACTTGTTCAATTATATTGGTAACATACGACACTCCGAATATAAATGACAAGGAAAGTTGTTTCCTGTAAGATCTATACCTACAAATTGAGGTCATCAAAAGCAAGAGGTGGCAACATTTTTACAGACTATTACGTATTTTGGATAATTTTCCATATTTTTATGATTTTTGATAAATTTCATTGGGATTATTTCATTAATGAAATGTTGAAACTGAACATTTAAAATTGGATTGTGGTACAGTTTTATTTAATAAAGTCAGCAACATTTCCACAAAAATCTCTTTACCGTTTATAGTCGAGACAGCCAAAAAGTTTCTATTTCAAAATTACTTTTTGGAAGCTAGAACCAGAAATGGCCTTCTTAATTCTCTAGCTCAGTTGAATGCCTCATCCTCTGTCCACAGATAATTCTGTTGGACAATAGGATTAACTTTCGGCTATTTGAACCCCGTTAAAATTTACCTTAATGTAATAGTTGCAGGTAGTTGCAAAAATTTTGTTTCCTTGTAAACATTTACTAATATTTACATTAAGTAAATCCCAGTCCCGGTATTGTAAATCCATCAGCCATAGATGGCCATGCTACCTGCAGATGTTAAACAGGGCCGTATTTACATTAGTTGGATTGAAATTTTGAAAAATAGGTTCCTACAGCATTGTACTGGAAAATAACAGCGCAGACGCACTGAACATCCACGATAAAACAAGTAAAACATATCTTAGTTTTAACCATTATTTTGTAAAAACATTTTTACTTCCTGAGCAAGTATTGTAATGGAGTCCATTGGACGTCTCGCCACTTTTATGGTTTCTTGACGTTTCATGACCCCTAGATTACGAAAAAATAGGTCTCCCGTTTCCATCTGTTTGTCGGTCTGTCTGCCGTCTGTCCGGATTTTCATTAGATAGATAATCTCCGAAACTACTGGACCCATTGTTGTCCAATTTTGTATGTGTATTAAAAATATCGTGTAGACGGTAAAATGCTAATCAAAATTTGGATAATCATCCCAACTAACAAAAGGATGACGTTATCACCAAGATTTACATTAGTAAATCTTATTTATTTAAATAAAAAAAAGAAGCAACTGTTGAACCGCCTAATTACGAGTAATTACAGACATTTAAAAATATATGTAGCTTAACTGAAAGAAACTTTCCGTGAAGGTTTTTATTTAGTAATTTTTTTCTTATTTATGTTTTTGAACCAAGCTTCGAGTTAAGTAAAATGGATAATTAAATTCTTAAACGATTGTCCTAAAAAAAAAAAACACACACACATCGCAAATTATGCAATGATTTCAAAGTAGAAACCAGACTGTATTCATTCAAGCTTCCAACAAAAGTGTAAATTTCAGTGAATGAAAGGCGGATACGGTAGCAACTTCAGTACTCGCCGGAAAAACAAATACAGATAAAAGTGTCTGTTGAAGTTTCTGCGAACTATTGCGTTGTCGGAGGTGAGATGCCGCGGTCATGTGAAAAAAGTTAGTTTCTTTGGCAGAGTGAAGGTTAAAACTCCCATACACACAGAGAAAAATTACGTAGAACCGTTGCAATAAAGTAAAGGTTGCAGCAGTTCTCAAGGTAGAACTCATTTTAAGTAATTTACTTATTATCTTATGGTAATTTATTGGGTTATATCATGCAAGTTGAGACACGCTTTCGAAATTTTGTAATCACAAATCAATCTTTACCTTAAAATCATTCTTAAAAAGATCTGTAAAGCTTTAACAAAACCGAATTAATCTAGAGATGACGTCATCAACTTATTGGAAGGGATAAGAGTGCGAATTTTAGTTTGTGTAATATCAAACTATATGTGTACATTTTAACACTAATAGTAAAGTTAAGTATAAGTGATTTTTCAGAAGAGATTATTTTCATGAGAAGATGAAAACTGGTGGCACTAATTAATTAATGCAATTAGTGCCAACATTAATTATAATGTACATAATGCATTCAAAACAATAAAAAAAGTTGTTGGCACTTCATATAGCAACACTAGCTGATTTTTTTAAATTTTCCAATGTATGTGCTAGTGTAAATTTAGTTTAAGCCCTTTATACATTTTCGTAATGTTGTAACAACACAAGTTTTAATATACATACACAATACATATATCATTTTTATTATTTTCTGTGGTTATTTTCTCTAAAACCGCGAATTGATCTAGCAAAATGAGTCAGCAGTAAATGTTACTCACTTAGTGTAAAATAACTGTGGTATTCATTGTTCATGAATAAAATCCTTGTTGATCAATGTTATCAAACTACAAACAAAAGCTGTCCTTTATTACTAATACACTTTAGATTGACCTGAGATTTGCTTAACAATATTTTGATTGGTATCAATTTTTGAAGGATTGAATACATTTTGGTAGCAGTTATTATTCATTATTTGGGAAGAGCAAACATACCTTTTGATATTTTGAATTTAAAATAAACCCCTTTATTTTTAGGCTTGCTTGCATGTTTGTAAAGAGTTTCCTTAATTTATCTTTACCGTATTTCCTCTTCCACCTATCATATAATACGTCACCTTTCCATTTCCTTTCTTAATGTCGTGCCTCTTATAAGGATGTAACACATTTCTTCAAGATATTAACAATACTGCATACATCCGGACATCACATTATCTGCTCATCTTGTCTCGAAGACATCGTCCGCCTCAGGCGACCCATTGTCCGGTTATTATTTTGATTGTCGCTTCCGTAAACTGCGACTACACTCTAACCGCAAATTGGTCGTGTAGGTGAAACCAATAGCAAGGGTGCCCAACCACCCTGAATCCTGTGCTCAAAGATATCCTCAAATCCATCTTCGACTAGCTTCCGACGCTTTCCGATCCACTAATAATCGGGTCATGGAGATTATTATGCTCACCTATGGTAATGATCGGAAGCTGGATGGGAAGAACCAGACCTTTCTTTATGGTTCCGGCCCTTTTTGGGACCCTTGTCTGTTCCCTTCGGCTGGTTGTTATTAGCATGTCTAAATAGTCCCGTTCGGGAATATGACAAAAGGTGTCCTTTCTCACACGGGAACTTTTGCCTCGTGAAACAGGATCATCAAACAAGTGCCCTTCTTTGACCGTTAATAAATGTGATTAAGTAGCACATCAGACGTAGTGAGGCGTGCAACAAGTGGTGTCGTTAATAATTCTCAGGGGTTTGTGTATTATTATTTAGAGTACGATTTTGAAGGAAATGGGGGAAGAAACGGATACTTCTCACATTTTTTTAAGTATTTTTTTCTAATGAACGTTGCAACTTTGAAACGGTTTCGGGGTATTACGATTATCTTCGTATTAGAAGCATTTTGGTTTTCTCAAGGGACAATAATGCGTTTTGACCAGTGATGCTTGGATAATTATTTGTGACGACAACGCGTCTAGACTAACGACAGACGTTCCATGAGGATGCCGTCATGAGCTTAAGATAACAGAACGAAATTGCCAGTTCGCATCAGTAATAAAAAAATGGCGGAAGCGGTTGACATCTGTACGCATTAATTAATTATAAAACATTAACCTCTATTATGTAAATAGTGTGTTAGTAGTGTTTCGGCACTCAAAATGTGGCCTTCAGTTCCAACGTCCAACAAAGCTCCACGTGTCAATGTACCTAGAGATAATTCCAAACAGGTGCTGGAGACAAAAAGATGTTACGAATGTCACAAAATTTAAATATGAGTATCATTATTTTTCTGTCATTTGGAATAAGTCTTGGCTCTTCAAAAATTGAAAACAGTGTAAATGTAAAAGTGTGACCCTATGAAAATGCTTCTGACACAAAACATTTTTCGAATTATCCAGGAATTCAAATCATCGAGCTTCGACTGTCTACAAATGAAATGGGCAGAGTATCTCTCTAATCTCTAGGCCCTGCCTATAATTATACACTAGGAATAAATGAAAATAAGTTGCAAAGCTTTATTTAAGAACATTTGTAGAATTGGTTGACAAATTATATAAGTCTCAATAATTATTTGTACCGGGGCCATTGTACACACCTTTTCATTAGAAGGACTTCTCAGAAAAAATTAATAATAACTAATGCTTGTTACGCAGGTCTTACCAGTTATCCCTACTTAGATTATCAGGTAAGTACCTACTTAAAACATAAGTAACACTTTGCAAGGACAAGGGGAAATGTATGTAAGAAATCACTTGCTATTTTTCAGCACTCTTAATTGTAAATATTAGCCTTTAGGGCTTTCTTGTTTAATTTTTAACATCTCGTGCGCATTCACCTTATTGCTGCTTGTAAAAGAGTAATAAAATATACCTGTATTAATTTTCGGGTGCTACCTGCCGGAAAGCCATAAATTATGGCTTAGGTCAATAATAATGAAGTAAATATTTTTGGTGGTCTAACGTTACCAAAATTATGGACTTCATTTGTAAAAATAGAGCAAGAATAGTTTTCTTTAAAAGTGGATTCTTCTTATGGTGTAGTAAAATTGACACTGATAGAGATTTATTTCACTTCATCAAACCATAGGTAACATTGAATTTTGTACACATTTGCTTTCACCCAACCAAATTATGAATTTTTTCCCAAAACCAACAAAATCGTGCACCATACGTTTATCACATCATAATTGTCCCCGATGTCTCGTTTGTAACGACCACAAATTAGCATTAATTGTGCTGGGGCGACCACAACGATATGCGACAAATTTGAATGGTCATCTGGTGGCCCCGTGAGAACAAAGCGGAGGAAAATCGGAACACCTTTTATAGATCTTGATGGGGAGATCAGAGTGCCGTTAAGGAGGGTCTCTGACAATAAGTTACTTCTGTGGGAATACGGGGAGGGGGAGGAAAATGCAACGATAATTAATTAAGAGGGTCTTGTGAGGTTGATACAAGTTTCTTTTTGTTGCAGAGTTGGGAACTGTTGGTTTTGTCGAAGTTGAAGTGGAACGTTGCCGCCATTACCGGATTTGATTACATCGATCAGATCATCGAGAGGTGTTCGTGGGGCGGCGAAAGCAGTTTGCTCAGGAGGCACGCGCACACCCTCGTCTCCATCTGTTATACAGGTAAGGACTAGCACCTGACGTAACCAATTAGCCACGGAGAGATAGCCGGACGAAATAATCGTCTTCCGTTAAAGTAGGGTCGTAGATGCGTAGTAGACGAAAACTATATAAGAAAGAGAGAATAAGCTGCAATGGGCGAAGGTAAAATTTGCCGGGTTAATAAAGTGGGCTGAATTTTTAAAGCATATGATCATCAGGTACGAATTTTTTGGTTTTTACTTTCTGACCATAAGCTAATGTCCATCCGACGAAAGGCAACTGGTTTCATGTTTTCTCGACGTTTCATAACCATTAAAGTATGGGAAAATAAGTTCCCCGTTTCCGTCTGTCTGTCGTCTGTTAACGACTTTATTGGACGTATAATTTCCGAAAGTGTTGGGGATATCGTATGGTTGGTAAAATGATAGAAAATTTTTCTAATTATCTCCACCAACAATTTGATGACGTCATCTCAAATTTCTGCTAGATAAATCTTGTCTAAAATGTGCAAAATATTATGAGCCCTATATTTGTGGTTGATCAGTGCGATCATATTTTTTAGAATTGCTTATACAGGGTGAATAAATGAAGAAATGAAGTAATTTATTTTATTGATCAAATCAAGATTTCCTGAAAATTTGGGAATACAATGCAGTAATTATATATTATACTAGCTGACCCCGTGAACTTCGTTTCACCTACAATTTAATTTTGAATCTGCAAAATCCAATGTTTTGAAATCTTGGAGATGTCTTAAACATATGATAAGCATAATAAATTTTTATTCAAAATGTATTTACTTATTCCCTCCAAAAAATTGATGACGTCAGCCCAAAATTTTGCCAAATGAATCCTATCTAAAATGTCCAAAATAGGATGAGACTATACTTGTGATTTACCATTCCATCCATATTTTTTATTTTGCTTATAGGGGGTGTCTCAAAAAAATTAATCACTGAGTCAATTTATTTTATTGATTGAGTCAAGAATTGAAAAACTGAATTTTGAAATATCGCAGAGGTTTTGAAGTTTCTGTTTGACGTGGTAGGTTTTCAATCAAAATATATCTGTTTATCAAACCCAAAAACTTTAAGACGTCATTTCAAGATTTGGCCGAATAAATCCTATCTAAAATGTGGAAAACATCATCAGTATATTTTCGTAATTTATCATTGCACTCATATTTTTTAGATTTGCTTTTACAGTGACTCAAAAAAATATATGGATCAGTCAATTTATTTTAGTGAATAACTCAAGAGTTGCAAAAGTGAATACTTTGAGATCTTGCAGACATTTTAAAGTTATTGTAAGCATGGTAAATTGCTAAGAATATTTATTTATTCCCCCCAAAAAATTGATGGAATGGCTCACTCGAATTTCGCAGATAATTTTGGGAATACAATACAGTTATTTTTAGTATTACACTGCACCAATCCAAGGTGGTATACGTGTTGATAGTAAATGTTGATTAGGTCATCACAAAATTGTGTGAAGAACAGACTCAACTCGAAAATGCTGAATAGGTTTCATTATACTTTTGGTGCGAAGGAAGTTCTGTCGAAACAACGTTCGATCAATTTTTTGACAATGGTTGATATAAATAAAATTCAGTAGATGCTCATACTCGAAATACGAATTATCTACTCGAATATCAAATCAAAATATTTCTAGTTTTTCTAGATGATACTAATACTTCAGTAAGTAACAGTTGATGCTCAAGTAGCATCTCCATACAACAAAAAAGGACAACAGTGGCAGTGTTCAACCATCAAGGCAAAAATCGAGTCACCAAAATATAAGTTAGCATGGGGTATAGACACCTTGAGATGGGAATCTCTATGGCCAGTGTTAGAAAAAACGCACTGCACAATTTATGCATAAATAAAAGTTAATTACATGAAAAGTTTTCGATATTCCTGCCCCTAATGTGCTTTTCAAACTGAATGCACCTTTTGACGACGTTCCACGTTCATGAAAGTCACCATGTTTAGTTAAAATTCACTCTTACAACGATCCTACTGGTTTTCTAAGCTGCTTTACAACCAGCTCAGTTATTTGCCACGCCGATGCTCATTTCTAGATTAAATGCTCACAAAACGCGTAGATGTTCAGTTTTTTGTGTCCGGGGAGATACAATGTTTCCAAGTAGGTACTCAGTACATAGAGCAGATGCTCAGGTATATAAGAGTAATAATGAAGTAGGTACTTCGTACTTCGAATATGAGTATCTACTCAGTTTTATTCATACCACCCAATGTCTCGCTTCAATGTTTGATTATCTTGATTATGAGCACAACGCTGATCAACTTCCGTATCCGAATTACCTATGAAATAAATCATTGCGGTTTGCACCTGAGGAAGTTCATCGCACATTTGATTGATTTCGTGAACCTATGTCAGCTTGTCGTCTTCTCGGCATTTTAATGAACGTCATAAAACGACACAAAATTATTTTCACAGTCAATCAAATCTGTAAATTTTGTCTTGAGAATTTTAAAATATTGAAAACTTCAAATTAAATCCTCGAATAACGGTAAAGTTTGAGGTTTTGTCGAAACCAACAAAGTGAATATAGGTAAATAGAATGGCAGATCAAAATGAATAAGAAACTTTCTCAATGTGTAATTAAATTCACTTTAGCCAAGACTTTTCTTAAAATAAACGTCATTTTTTTTTTACGAAAAAACAAAGAACGATTTGAAATGCAATATAATTTTCACAATCGCACGGAAGAATTAGTTTTGTATGACACGTCAGTTAGACGACAGGTCCGTCAAAAACGCCAACTATTGAAATTAATTCGAAGTGGCGATTCCCATACAAAATTTTTAGAATTTTTTTATTTTTTTTTAAGTTATCCTTATTTTTTTTATTTATAAACCATCCCCGTAATATAAAAAAATTTTCAAATCGGTCAAGCCGTTTTTGAGTCTTAGCGAGACTAACAGGAACAATTGATTTTTATTTTATAGACGATTAAAAAATGGGGGTTGGTGGTAGAAAGGTGAAAATTTAGGGTTATGTGTATTTTTTGATGCCAAATCTTAAAAAAATAAAAATAAAAAATTTTGTCGAAAAAATAGACACACATTTTTTAGGGTGGACCACCCTTATCACTTAGGGGTTTAAAAAGTAGTTTACAACTTATTGTCAGACCTACCGAATATACGTAAAAAATTTCATACAAATCGGTCAACCCATTTCGGAGAAGTTCGGTTACAAACACTGTGACGCGAGAATTTTATACATAATGCATTATTATTTTAGAACAAATTTCATTACCATAAAAAAGGTTATACTGACTCGACCTTAAAAGATAGACATATGCTGTCGCGGACTCTTCTTTAGAACTTTTAGAGGGGAACAATTTCGTCATACATGATTTTTACGTAACTTTAACCGTTTAAGCAGCGTAAGCAACGGAAGCTGTCAAAGGAGGAATAATTTTCCCGTTTTTACGAATTTTTCATTGCTACTTCGCTCCTAATGATCGTAGCGTGATGTTATATAGCTTATATGTAGATATGATACATGGACTATCCAACACAAAAAGATTTTTTGAATTTGAACCAGTAGTTTCTGAGATATGCGTGTTCAAATAAACAAAAGCTTCAGCTTTATTATATAAGTATAGATGAATTTGATTGTATCATTTTTATTACCACAAGTTTTTGCAATTTTAAACTTTTTTATTTTGTAATTTGAACTGTTTCATGGAATAAAATTAATGATGAAATGGCACAGATTTATATTCTATTTTTTTTTTGTTAGATCCAGAAAATTTGCTTTATAATCCTCCAGTTATTGATTGGATCAAATTTATTGAGACAAATTTTTGTGTTGGCAATTCTGAATTATTGGCAACAATGCTACTAGATGTCCGTTCATAGTTGATTTGGCATTGGATTTGAATTGTCAATTTGACAGTTAGGGAGATCATCGTAAAACTTTAAACATACAAATGTAGTATTCTAATTTTGGGTGCATATTAACCACAAAACAAATAATTAAAGTTAAGATATGACAATTACAGAATTGAATAATTGACAGCTGTCGTTTTATGTGGGGTGCCGGTTTTAATCCATTTTTGGCTTTATGCTATATATTTTAAATTCAAAATCTGTCGTTAATAAAGGCATTCCAAAACGACGAATAAAAAATGGACGTCAAAAAACCGAGATTGAAAGCGTTAGTCACGGGTTTTCTAATGCGTTCTAGAAATGAACCAACACTGCAGTTTACCTTGAAAATGCGCGTGATAACGCCTGCGAAATTTTAATTTCGTGGGAAAAACATTAGTCGAAGTTGCAGTATAATATCATATAGCAACAACACTGAAGTTCAACTTTCATAAGTCAGGAAATATATTTCTTGGTTTTCGCAGAATTGAGAGAGATTTTCATGTGTTAATCAGTCTTATTTATTCATGGCAAACTGCATTCTGACTCACCAATATCTTACCGACTTAAATCGACAATTAAAATGGAAATTATAGTGTGAAAAAGTGTTAAATTTAAATACCTGTGTCTTTTTAATTCAGCTTTGTTTTATATTTTATTAACGATAATACTGTAGCGTAGCAAGAGGTATGTAAATTGTTTTTTTTTTTTTTTATAAACTACATTCCAGAAGGGATTTTGAATTTCTGTAGGCGATACCGGCAACATTATGACGTACACAATATTTTTTAAGTTGCAACCTAATTTTCCAATGTACTAGTGTTTTAAAAGAGATTACAAAATGAGATATACTGACACAATGTAAAATACAATCAAAGACAGCCATGGATTATTGCAGATTTGTCTTTGATACAGATTATCGTCAATTTGAGAGTTGAGTTGAACATGCAACAATCAAAGACACGCCTTTTCCAAATGTCAAAAAACTGAGCTCGTAGATTTTTTTTGCTTTTACAAATTTGATTTTTCACGATAATTCTAAAACGTACGGAGCTTTCAAAAATGTTTCTTTTCTTACATCCAGTTATCAGTAATTATCACAGGTGGTTACGAAAAAGACAA